ACTTAATGGACATTATTATTAATAGTAAGATTTATATCAAATGTCAAGTGTCAGACGCAGTTGTGTGCAGGATCAAAGTTTACACACCGCAGCGATAAATTAATGGTAAAACTAATTATAAAACTCCCATGCACACACATTCTCCCCCAATTATTTATGCCAGAAGTCAAATGGGCTGGCATTGTGCGAATGCTTCAACTCACAAATCCAGCCAAACAAAGCAGAACCCTTGGCTTTTGCATACATCAACATAATGGGCGTGTAAAAACTGTCAGACAGTTTAAACTTTTGCCACATGACATATCACGCATACGCAGTGTTAACATCCTTCCTCTTCCGCTCGCTAACACGTGGCGCATTAAACTAATAATAACTTTTACACGCACAATTGGGTGGTATTTCCGCCAGGCCCTTTATCAATCGATCTCTGTCAATATTTGTTTTACTTAGGATAGCCACAAACTTTTTTGCATATTACACAGAAAACTAAAAGCGAAAACTTAATCCAAAATACATGAGTAAACACAACATGAGATTATCATAAAGTTACTGAAAATTTATTACGCATTGTTTTGCGCTGGTTTTTATGTGTGAACTGAGCCCCGTTAAACGCCTTGAGGATTAAAATATTGCCACAAATATACTGTGGTTATATATTCATTCGCATTCAGCATACATACATTTTTGCTTTGGTTTATTTATCTGTTTGTTTGCTTTGTTGTCAACAGCTTTGTCCTAAAAACTAATTAGCAAATTAAAACTTGTAATTTATTTATTTGTGGCATAAGTTGTGAAGGCTTTTATTTAACTAGATTTTCCAGCAACCAATACATGTCAATGGGCATAATACCGCCCGAGGTGACTAATAAGACAAATTTGGTTTTCTTTGTAACCAAATATTTTTTGAAGTTTGCGGCTGAAACTTAATGAGTTAAGTCAATAGAATTGTTGATAAGTTAAAAAGTTTATGTTACTTTTGCCAAAGTAAATTTGAAACTAATTTTGTTTGTATATATTTAAACATTCATTTAATTAAAAAAAAAAAAAATAAATTGTGTATATTAAAGCACTCAAAATTGTAATTTTAAATCACATTTTTTACATGTTTTCCAATTCAACAAAGTTAAGCCAACCAATATAAAACACAATCACATTTGACCTCATATATTTTACATGAGACTTGATCTATCAAAAAGCGAATATGAAATATGAAAGCCGGGCAGCTGGGTCCGAAAATGCCACCCGAAAATGCGGATAATCTAGATCCAGTGACAGCAAAGACAGATCCGTAAAAACCTCGCAACTTCCAGTTGTCAAAGGAAAAGGTCCCATAGTTTTTCCCCTTCCATCCTGTCAGTTTTAATGTGATGCGCTTTGTTGCCTTTTGGAAAATGTAGCTTCCCTTTTTTTTTACTCTACAAAAACTACTTTGACTATCTTTGGCTTTGCGAGAGCCTGCGTGTGTATCTGTGTTTGCCATGGCTGATTTGAACAGCACTGACATTTGACGCCACTTTGCACACATTTCTCCCTTTTCCCTCTCCGCATTTTATTTATTTTGCTTTGCTGAACACAAAAAAGAAAAGGGAAAAAAATGGGAACAACAAAAACGAATTCTAAAGCAGCATATAAAAAAGAGAAATGTTTACGGGGGGGGTGCAAAAAAAGGATGAAAAAAAAGTAGTGCCAGCTGCCAGTCATTCATGGACTGACATATGGCTCACCAGCAGGTGGGCGGCGGCGGTGCCGGCGTGGCATGGGGCGTGGCTGGGCTTGTTAGTGTGCCAGTTATGCGGCCATAAATAGCTGACGGCTGCTCACCTGCCACTGCCTTCGGGCCACGCCCCCCTCCTCCAACTGGCACGTTAATAGTTTAAAGTGAGCCCTTTTGACTGCCGCTCTGCCGAGAGTAGGAAAATGGGAGAAGGGGGGAAATGTTGGGAAATGTTGGGAAAAGCGGAAAAGCGAGAGCGTGCTGGCTGGCTGATGACTCGGGCGCAGTTCACTTTGCCGCTCAATTTAACTCCAACAAAAAGGCAGTCACTTTAACCAAACAGCAAGCACAGCTTTTCTACAGGGTACATCAAGGGGTTAAATAAATATGAAAATAATCACAGAAGGGTATTTTTTTGTATGAGAGATTTGTTTTATAATCTGTATTTTATTTGATAAAGTCTTTTTATTTTATAAATTTAATGCTTATTACGTTTAGGACCTGATTTAGTCGATATATTAATCAATTCAACACTTATCTATTATTTAATAATTTAAATGTAACTTTAGACTCATATATATGTTAAATTGAATAATAAAATTTTCTTGGTTGGTTTTAAGGTTTGATATTTAAACTTCAAAGAATCTTGTAATCATTTATTAACATCTCATCTTGTGTATTTGATCATTTGTGTTTGATTGGAATAGAATTACTAGTAACAACATACATTTTGTTCACATACCATTAAGCATGTTAAACGAACATATTTTCTTTGTAAATTTGATTTTCCGCAATCTGACTTTCTGTGTTGTTTACCCTTGCCTTCAGTCAGTATTACACAGTCCATTCGCTGCCAAAGCTTTCCGTTTACCTGCCCATAATGCCAGAGTGCCAAAAAATTAAGTCAAGATAGCTGAGAGCGAGAGGAAAAAACACAGCAAAATGCAATTTCAACTGCCAGCGATGTTTGCTTTGCCTTGCTTGTGTGTGTATTTGTGTTTATTCAGTATATTGTAGCTACACACATTTGCAAAGGTCCTTGGAGTTTTCTTCTTAAACGCTTTCTACTCGACTCGCCTCACTTTCTTTTTGGGGTCTTATTTATACGAGATTTGCGCTTGAGCTGATGAATCCAAAAAACGAATGTGTGTACATTTACTTTGCTCATTTCTCATTTTCTTTCATTTTCTGGGCCAAAAAAGGACCATATCATGTGCTAGACTTACCTGCGAACTAAATAAAGCAAGGAGCTAACTTCTAAATTAGATTCTATTTGTCTAACCCCATACTTGAGTATGAAAGGCCTGAAAGGGGCAGAATTCATTCAGTTTTATATTTCACTTTTCAATGAATAGAATTTTCAAGTTTGACTTCAGCTTTCAAACGAATGAAATTTGTGTGTGAGCAAAGATTACTGAGAGGCCATGTCATAAACACATTTTGCCAAAAAAGAGTTGGAGCACATTTATTTTCTTCTGTCCAACATTTAATTAGTTTCTGGAACTTTTTCCTGCCCTATATTTTTTGACAAATTAACTTACAAACAAAGCAAGCCGAGCTGTAACAGATTAAACAGTCTACCAAATTTGGCAAAGTTTGCCCAACACTTTCGCTCGACTATCAAAAATCTTTTTCTAAATTTAAGTAATTTGCCAAATATCTTCGAAAATACCAGCCATAAAAATAGGGTAAACATAACAAGAACCTTTGCATTTTGTGTATATAAAGAACAAATTGCACTTTTACGAAATACAGCAGACATATTTTTCTTGGCCACATTGTGACAACTTTAAAGCTTCTTTAAAAACGATTATAGTATAAGAATGCATTTAAAGGCATGCATTTCCAACCGAAAGGATTGCCCCAGCAATTGTCGTCTTTTCAATATTGCGTATTCGTAACGAGCGCCTGCTTCTTAATTCTTCCTTTCCCACACTGCAGCTCTGCTCTTTTATGATGTGTGACTGGCGGACTCAGTTACTTTGCACTGGTTGTTAAGGAAAATTTATTCTTGTTGAAAATATACATTTTATCGTACTTATATTTTTGCCCAAGTTGAGCAATCTTTTTGTGCTTTTTGTGAAAACAGATTATTGCTTCCGTCATGTGGGAACTGATACAAAAACAAGGCTAAGGACCTTTTGAAGTCATCACCAGGCTCTTTTGGGAAAATTGAACGCTTAAAACACTTTGTTAGTTACGTTAAATAACTAAGTTTCGTGAAAATGTTCCGGCAGTCATATGAAATGGTACTTAATCATTTAGGGAAAACTTAATAGCCTGAGAGCATTACTATATTAATGCCCCGATGGAGGGATTTTCATATTTTTTTAGGAAAACCATTGTCGAGCTTACCGAAGTTTACAAACTCTCTTTGGGGATTGCAAAAATCCACGCTTATTTGTGAAGTGCAATTCCTTCTGTATTTGCCGCGAGCTCCCCTGCTCGAATAAAACTCATTAACGCACGTTCCCGTTTCGAGAACTAAACTACACAACTATCCAGAAAGTTTTGTTTGGCAAGACATTAGCAGGAAATAAGCAAATAAAGCGAGGCAAACAAACGTCGCTGCAGTTTCCGAAGGGAAGGGCGGAAAACCTTCAATTCGCTGTGCACTTTGTGAGAACTTATTTTGCTCTCGACTGCAAAAGGAGGACACAAACTTTTTGCTTTGAGTAGATTGTTTTGTGATTTCTGTTGGCTTTAGTTGCGTTGCATGCTCCTGTAGCTGGTTCCATTTGGATGACGGCTTAGGCTTTGATGGGCCTAGCAGGGGCCTTGTTAACAATTTACTTAACAGGATGCGAAAATTCGGCAGTCAAGAATTTGTACACCCAAAGAATAGGTTAACGTGAATTCTAAGGAAGACTTTAAAATATTATGTCTAGATACAGAACAATAGTATAGAATAAAATGAATCCATGTATCTATAATTTATATAAAATTAAGTATATATTAGGTAACTTAATATGTTTTGAATTAAATTAATTAAAATTGTTTGTAAATATCGAATTTATTTTTAAATCTTGATATTTTTTCCGTGTATAGTAAAGTGGGGGATATGTGCGGCATATTTGCCTCTTTTATGCCTGCCACGTTTCGAACATAAACCGACAAGTTTACGACTTCCTCGACCGCAAAGGAGGCACGCGCGCAATTTGTCAATCAATAAATTTGCTATAATTAATGCTGGTTATTGGCATTTCATACACTAACAGCATGCAACCAAGCAATCTATTTATATAGTATCTATATCATGGCTTGTCTTCTTTTTTCTCATTTGCAGTTACAAAATTTGTACGCATTGGTATTGCCGACAAAAACGATTCGCCGCCATATTTCGATAGATTTCTGTACGAGACTGAAATCGATGAGAATGCCGACTTACAGAGCACAGTCCTCACTGTCAACGCCAAGGATCACAATGAGTGTGAGTAACATCAGCAATAAACCATCCCTTCATCTAGTTTAATGTGATTTTGCCCTTGCACAAAATTGGATTTAGCTAGGGAGCTAGGGATATTTGTACTTAATCGCTCGAGCAAAAGAATATATTTTACATAAATTGCCAATTGATTTAATTAAGTGTGTCTTTAATTGTAATTGTCCAGGGTGTGTGCTCATGTCATGGGTAATGATTTGCATTTCAAAGATATAGACAGTTGCTTCAGGGACTGAATTGCTAATGGATGTCAGGGAACCTTACCTAAAGACATATATACACACATTGTTTCAGCAATTAAGAAGGAATAGGTTAAAAATTGGAGAAAGCATAGAAATTGTAATTTGTTTTATCATATATTTAAAACAAAAAATTTATCACACATAAAAAGCTTTGTAAAATAAAACTAATTACAATAGTTGGGTATATTTTTTTCATAACAACCGTTATTAGTTAAGTATTGATTTTGTTACAGTAATTAAGTTGCTCGGCTAACTGTGTTAAACAAAGCCATTTAAATGCGTTCATAAAATGTACTAAAATAAATTTGTCAACAAATTCTTAAATAAGACTTCATGCATTGATAGCTTCATTTTTCCAACTTACGTAAGCAATAACAAAGTCTTCGGAAAACAATCAATTGATTTAGTTTTGCCAAATCATGCGACAGCGACATTTTCTGTCAGTTTAAGTCATGATTTCTACAACTTCCTTCCATAAAGCACAAAATATTATACGAAAATGTATATATAGGACGTCATAAACATTTAGAAAAAACCAATTTGGCAATTTCCCTTATGGGACCATAGAAAATTTATGCATAAATATTAAAACGGCGTTTGAGAATATTTTTCCCTTCCACGCTGCCATAATACAACATTTATTTATTTTAATACTTCGCAATGTTTGTGGCTGTGTGCAGCCATTGTCAAATATTATTAGGCAACGGACATGTACCGCAAATATTTACGAAATATTAACAAGTATAGGCTCATTGAAGCAAAATATTCACAGTAGAAGATACAGCTCATAGTCATGCATAAATCCATAAATACAAAGACAAACACAAATGGAGAGCAAGTGAGCATATAATATGCGTATTTGTATATCTGTCCATTGATTCCCATGCGGAAATTATTATTGTTAATAGAGAGGGGAGTGGGGAAAGTTCTGCGACAGCGGCAAATAGGATTTGCAGCACGAAAAACATTCAAAACCCCATTGAAAGCGTTTAACAACTTTTGCCAACCGAAGGGAGCGCCAAGCTTGCGGGTAGAACTTTGTCTCCTCTTGGCTCAATCTACCCACTAGCAACAGCTCGCAAAGGACACCCGAGAACAGTCTGAGTCCTTGTTGTCGCCGGCGCGACGACTGCGAAAAAAGCATTAACCCGAATTGGAAAAAAGCAGAGCTGCTCTCACAACAATAACACAGTGGCACAGAAACAGAGTTAAGTTAAATAAAAAAGAAAAACTTATAAATATAGAAACATAAAATAGGTGGAACAAGAAACATTAGTCTTTTGGTAGCGTTCAAATAAGTTAATTTCTTAAATGTTATATATTTCAACTAAGGATTTCCTAAAAGGTTGATTGATTTAAATCAACTGGCAGTATTCAATTTCAAAAACTTATATATATTTTTTTATAAAGAAGCACTCTGGAGCATTTTAATATAAATGTAAGTCATGTTTAAATAAAATGCCGTATAGACCAGTGTAATCTCCCTAGAAAAAGAAAAACATCGCCGGAAAACGGAAAAATAAATGGGCACACGAAATTTTGAACTACTTGCCGACGGGAAAGGATTTCACTTCAATGTGTGAGTCGCATAGGATATGAATTGAAGGCAGCTTCTAACGAAACAGGGTCAGGACAAATCTTTTATGCGATTCCTTGCGTTGCTATGTTTGTTTCTACTTCGAAATACGAACGGGGCCGTAAAACTTTTGTGCTATTGCGTGCCACATTGCGAATTTATGAGCGAAAAGAATATTTATTTGAAAGTGCGCGAGTGGTTGCCATGTGTTGGCCAAATGTTGTCACATTCGAAGCAGTTCGAAGAAGTTTCTCCATAGCCCAATGCAAACGAAGCTCATTTATTTTCCAGGCATCCTATAGCTTTAAGAACTCATTTTTAAACACCCACCTAAGAGGTGCTGGAAAATAAACAAGGACTTGCACAACCTTTCAGTGTGGGCCATAAAAACACTTAGTTGAAGCCCCCAACCTTCAAATAAAAAGCAAAAAAGAGAAGGAAGCACACGAAGACCTAGGAAGATCAAAACCAGGGCAAAAAACAGGAATGTTTTTCCCTCCACTTTTTAAAATGACTTTTCATGCTAAATAAGTACGCAGACAACATCACAGAGCATCTGAAGGGCAGGGAGGGATACTTTTACTGCCTGGGCTGCTCCCATGTGTGGCTGGGCCTCTGGTGTCTGTATATTAATTTATTATCGTTATCAGTGATTTAAAAATGGCGTCATGACATCGTAAATTGTAAACGTCATTGTCTAAGACTGGGGACTACTTAACACGACTCGCCTGAGCTACTCCTAATGTCCCAGTTGATCTTATTGCCTGTGCTTTAAAAAAAACAACCTAAAAACCAGAATAGGTTTTTCTTTGAGCACTTAAAGAGAAAAAATAATATAAAATAAGTATCATGAGCGAGGGCTGCTGCAAAAGAACTTGATCGCTGATTACCCTAAGGCATCAAACACAATAAAATAACACTAATAATTGTATGACAGATAATTGTTAGTTATAAATGTTCAAATAACATAACATAGTAGGCCAGGCTAGACATGGTAGGACTCATTTTCCTAAAATGTGTTCATATTATATTTTCACATCAAAGTGAATAGACCTAAAATAATAAATAAATCAAACTTTCACGCATAAAGAAATCTAAAAAGGACACAGACATGAATTGCCTATCCCTGAAGCGTTTCCTAATATTGGAGGACAATTCGCCGGATCATTCCCCTGCAAAACGAAGGCGCCAGAGTTCTCAAGAATCGAATATAACAAAATTAACCTCTAAGATAAAGAAAGATAAGGATCCAGAGATTCCAAGAGACTTTTTGAAAGATTTACCAGTACTTCTTGATACCGATTCCAGTGATTCGGAAATAGATTCCCGGACATCTAAAGCTAATGCTAAAAAGATAGCTGCTCCAGATAATCAAAATTTGTTTAGCTTTGAACAATTACAATCAATTTGCTGCGGAATGATGCAGCAATGTGAAAATCGCGTTAAGGAGGAATTTGAATTGGAGTTGACCCAAAAAATGGCGGAACAATATGACATTTTTATCAAGTTCACCCACGATCAAATGCAGCGAGAAGGTGGGCAGAATGCCAGTTATTTGTCATAGCCCAAATTGTTAAATTTTTATGTTATATTTTACGAAAAAGAATTGTGTTTGTTACTATAATATATATTTATTTTCTTAAAATTAAAAGCTTTTAATTATTAAACAAAACTATGATAAGTATGTATGTTAATATAATAACATTCGTTTCTTTAGAATTCGGAAAATATATTTTTAGCTAGCAAATCCTTTTTTAAGCTTCCAGAGACTTTTCGTTCAGCTCTCCAAAAAGTTGCTTAATTGTGCAGAAAGCTGTAAGGGCCCACAAACAGCAAAAGCCAAATGTGGCCAAGTTTTAATGCCTCAAAACTCAAGCTGGCTGACGTCCTGCTCATCCAGTCCCCTCCCATCTTCAGCTAGTCGAGCAGGTTAAGCGATTTACGCGTCGCTAATTTGCGCTAATGTTTGCTTTACACATTTCCGCATAAATGCACAGACAATGCGGCAACATCAGCCCCCTTGTCCGCACTTTCCCCCATTTTCCAACCACTTTTCACAGATGTGTTCCCTTCAGACGTGTCCTGGTTGTCACATGTGAGAGCATTTCCATATTCCGCCAGCAAAGACAACACTTTCGCAGGCTGTTTAAACATGAAATAAGTAAATTACTATATATGTCATCATATTGTTGATGGCATTCTCTGGAAACATTAGGGTCTTTCCCGTGGGTGCAAAATGTTTTTTAATTAACTTTATTATGTTTCCTTGTGCTGTCTGCATTTTTATTTTGTCACTTTGACTTTGTTCATTGTTTTTAAATCTTGAGACATGATGAGTGAGTCTAGTGTTGCCAAGGTGTTTTTATTTTGGAAATTTGAAGAGCTAACACTGGAACTTAGAAAATTATTATGTCACCAAAGGTGGTTAACATATTAATAATTAATAATTTTATGACGGCAATCACCGAAATAAAATAACAAAATCAGACTGCTAGCATCTGTAAATCCTCAATCAATTCCTTTTTGCTTACTACATTTTTTACATTCACTCACATTTTGTAATAAAAAGGGAATAGGCTTAAGAAAAAACACAAGGCGAAATAAAGTTAACATAAGCAAACCAATTAACCCAACTCAACTTCTTTTTTCTTAATAGACTTAAAGTGGAATAATTTTGTTGAGTATACGCTGGACGCGCTTCAGGCTTCATTTTATAAACCTACTTAATTACAATCTTAAGCAAATGTTAAAATTTTTAACGTATTACCCTTATTATCTCTTTGCAGCGACGAATATTCGATACCAGATCACAGGCGGTAACATAGGCAATGCCTTTGCCGTACAGAACACCACCGGTGTCATTTACGTGGCAAGTCCACTCGACTACGAAACGCGGCCAAGGGTAAGTAGTCAAATGCTCCGGGACTGTCTACAACTGCTGACAGGCTTGTTTTAACCAAGTCACTAGATTAAACTGAGAAAAATATAATTATTTGTAACCAAATTTAAAATAGGCCTTTGTAAGTAGTTGCTAAGATAAAAGTTTAATCAACACAAAATATAATTATTATTTTAATAAGTTTATTTTTTATTCAATGGTTTTAGTTCTAAGAACCACAAAAGAAAGGCAAGATAAATAATTTATTTCATGGTTAATATTTCTCCTTGTGTACCAACTTGTCTACAAGTTGATGCACATTTTCCTTAGCCCAATTTTTATTTTCCCGGTCCCAACTTTTTGTGTTGCATGCATAATTTATATATTTTTCTGCTTTGGCGAGGAGCAACAAAAAATAGTGGAAAAATGTAAAACTATGCAGAACTTTTGGAGGGTTGGCCAAACTTTCGACCAGGCAAGGCGAGGCGTATAAAAAAATTAATCCGAAAAAAGGCAAATTCGCTTACATGCAGAAAGCATTTCCATCTTGGAGAGCTAAAGGCGTACAAGGGATATATAGACAGCTACAGCTGTCGTTACATTTCCCAATGCGCATTTTGAACATGATTGTTAACGCACCCATCGAGCACTGAAAAAAATGCTGATTATGAAAATTACGAATGGCTTAATAAAATTAATAATAACCCAAAATATTTTATTAAATATATATAAAATTTTCCTTAGTTTCTTTTTATATTCTAAAATACGTTTTTTTTTATATTTATATACTCAATTTTATAACGGTTACTACCACTATTTCTCTTAAATTTTGCTCTAAGCTTTTAATTATATTTGATTTATTGAAAAATTAAATTATTGCAGTGCTGTCTGGGAACACCGATATGATAAAATCCGTTTAAGTATGAAAAAGCCCACCCAATTAAATACTATTTTTGGCAATTTTTTCTGTGTGCAAGATGGAAATCCCCCTACATCCTGCATCGCGTAGTCATCACCTATACGCAACTTGTTTTGGCTTCCCCACAGGACTGGAAATCCGTGTAGCTGTCAATGCCCAGCCATGCAACAAGCACTGGCAGTGGCACAACCAAAACAACAAGCCACAGCAGCCGGAACATGTGTTGCCAATTTCGTATTTGGTTCTACTTTTTTGCAATTTGTTTTGTTCTACCCGTGGAAAAAAGTTTCACTGACCATTCATGCGAATTTGGCTTATGTTGCTCAAATTGTGAATCGACAGTGGCAGATTTTTCGGCATCAGGCGCATTAAAAACGTTGGGGCAGAATAAATCTCTTTGCTGATAGCACTGTCAATTTTTTCATATGTGCAAAATTTCCGTTGGAAATACCAATAAATGTATTTTTAACTTTCGAAACGTTTTTACTGGATTAGGTAAAAAGTTTGTTTGTTACTCACTTTGCTGCATTAGCAGTGCTTCGCGTCAGTTGCAGGGTATTATATATGTGCATGTACATTTATTATATTATTTAGTTTTACCTGGTTGGACGTGAAGCGGTTGTGTTCAGAATTTTAACATATCAAAAGTGGCGGAGGCTTTACCTAAAAATTTTTTTTATTGGTTTACTATTAATTTTCTGTTATGAAAATATTATACATTTTAATATAATTCAATATCAAACTTTTTTACAGTACGAACTGCGGCTGGAGGCGACGCGAAATCGCAAAAACAACTACACCACCGTTGTGATCAACGTTCGCGATGTCAACGATAATCCACCCGTATTCGATCGTCAAACATATCGCACACAAATCACTGAAGAAGACGATCGCAATCTGCCCAAACGCATACTGCAGGTTAGTTTGCCATTCAAAAACGTTGTCCGTCTTTTTGGGGCACAGTTTATCGCCTTATTGGCTTTACACAATGTAAATATTGATACTTGGTCGACGGCATGAACATCAGAACAAACACGAGCAGAAAACCATATATTCAATACACGTAATTTGCATAAAAAGCCAAAAACTTTGCAATAAAAAAGAGAATAGCAGGCCGAGGGAAAACAACAGGCTTAAAACTCAAGTTGCGAACGGATAGCGCACAGAATGTGACTGGGAAAAATAGCGAAAATGCGGAAAAGTGGGATAAAATTCAGAGAAAAGTTCTTGACTTGTGTGGAGCAATTCATCCGTAAACACAAATAAATACTCATTCATTAATAATAACGTGATAGTTGCGCAACGGCAGTAAAAAGCGCACACTTACGCAAATACATTCATCAACTACTAGCGTAAGCAAACAGCCATGCTCATGTAAGGAAAAAAAAACGAAAAAATATATATATGCATATTCGTATAAGCGACTTTTATTCATGCCATCATTTACCAACATAAAGACCAGTGTAGTGAAAGGCAAGTTTATGACCACATCAAAATTTGAATACACTTTAACTGAAGCATTAAGGAAAATACCATTTATATGTGATAAAAACGGGAATCTGGGGAAAAAGATAAAATTGATAGAAAAACGCAACTTCCTTCCATTCAATTAAGACAAATTATTAGAAATCAAGACATTTTTTTTATAATAATAATATATTTGAACACAAAATAATATATAGAGTTTGCACATATTTTTTATCGTGCTTAAGAATAGACGAAACTTAAATCAAGAGAGGTCATAAAATCTTTCTTTTATTTTATTTGCCATTGATCAGAAGAGCATTTAATTATTGCCCACTAGTTTCGTTTTTTAACATTAAATACAAATTAAAAATGCACAGCTCAGCGGGCGTACACGCAACCAATAAACAAGAAGCGGCGAAAAAACAAGGCGAATTTTTAATTACACATTTATGGGAGGCCGAAGTTCTACCGGAGGAGCATTGTTACGGCAGGTCCCATTATGGGCGATATTTTTATATACGCGTGTATGCCGCATTTGTGGAGATACAAGCTGAATGGAATGCGTTTGCTGGCGCCGACACCTTTGGACGCAAATTGATTTCTGTGCTTGGAAAATGAAATGCAAATATTTTTATATAAAGTGCAGCACTTGCGAGGATTCTATAGGTCGGTGGGTGGTTTTTGGTGGCGAAGGCCTTTAAATTATGGCCATAAACGGGCGACCGGGAATGTGTGTATGCTGGGCCAGAGGACAATGGCACGCAGCTCGAAGGCTCGCTTCCGCCTACCGAAATGGGCGGGGCAATAATAATGGGCACAATGATGGCACGTAGACAACTCTTTTGTCATATCAAATTGTGTTCAACATTTAACGTAAATTGTCGCATTGTGAATGTGCAGCGGGAAGCGGATGGCTGCTGAAAATGGATTTGGGTATGGGTATGGGGATTGGGATGGGTGGGAATGGCAGGCACTTAACACGTGACGATGATTTAATGGACCAAGGACCCAGAGGATATTGCTACAAGTTTGCTTGTAATTGTCATCTGAAACTCTCCTTTCTTTTATTATAATAGAAAATGGGTTGCACACATGCAGGATTCGTGCATAACTGGTTTTGTTTCCATAGATACATCTGCACAGTCCGCAATCCACTTTGTACAGGCAAAAAAGATACAAAGAGAGATGAGATGCAAACTGAACAAGGCAATTATTGTCTTTAATTGACACGACAACTGTTAGAAGGCTTTGCAACTCCGTTGTTCTCGGCATCAGTAAAGAGATTTCCGTTTACTGCACAGAAAGAAAAAAACAATGATTTAATCTGATCGATTCAAATTTGAAATTGAGCATTTAAATTTACCGATAAGAATACTGATATCTGAAATTTAAACATTACTCGAAATCATCGCCTATTCCTCATATCTTTTTGGACTGGCCGGATTTTAATAAATTGACTATTTTGATTTGTTCACATTAATTAAATTGTTAATTTTTTTGGCTTAATCAACAATAGTGTTTGCACAAAAATTATAAAATTATATTTTTATGTGTATTCATTTTGTTTTTAATGCTCGTCTATTGTGTTGTGTCTTGTTGTTAAGAAGCGATTACCATAACTTGTAAGTTTTCATCCTGCTCGTTGCGCATAAAGAAAATTTAATCACTCACTTATTATTCCCATTACTGCAAAGAGGCTTAAACAAGTAAATGTCTAAAGGAATTTCTAGATATTTACCATGTATTTTTAGCTTATTTCAGATTAAGAGAACTTCTCGATTGCACTTTATTTATTTGATTTTATTCAATTGCCCAACCTTTCATTGAACCCAATCAAAGTCGATAACAATTTTGCCTATGATCAAATATTCCAAGAAAATGCTCCTAAATGCTGATTTAATTTACCAATCGCAAACCGAAAACGAAACAAAGTAAAAATAAAACAATATAACAAAAGAAAAGACCGAAATCCGATTGAATAATTACATAAATCTCTGTAATTTTAGCATTTTTTCTCTTTTTTCAATGAAAATATTTTATGGCCAAGAGAGGGGCAAAATAAAATGTGCAAAAAATAAAAGAACTAAAAAAATCAAAGCATAAATTTACAAGCAATCTGGCGGGTAAAAGGAAAAATACCAGCCACGCCCACAGTCCAGATTATTCCGACCCCGTACCGTATTTTTCCCATTTCAACATTCACGTTGTCCTTTATTGGACATTTAAAGCATTTGGCTCATTTGCATATTTGATTTATAGCCTCCAATATTGTAAGCAGCGTCCAGTTTTCCCCAACCTGAATCTTTATCCCCGCCGAATAATGCACTTTTTGTAACCAACCGAATTTCGTTCTCTTTTCCGTTTCGTTGCAGGTCACAGCCACCGACGGCGATGTAGATAGACCAATAAATATTGTATATTTCCTCACTGGCCAGGGCATCGACCCTGATAATCCAGCGAATAGTAAATTTGATATAAATCGCACGACTGGCGATATTTTTGTACTCAAGGTAAGTGAGCGTGGGTCCACTGTTTGGCGTTCTTAAACAGATTCCAATTTCGAGTCCCCTCGTAAAACGAGCGTAATGAAAGCCAGTTAAAATTTCGCGACGGCCCCCCTAACAGTAAACCGTGCAAATGGAGCTCAATCCAAAAAAAAAGAATGAAAAAAAACAGGGAAATAACTTTTTTGTTTGTACTTTAGCCGGGGGTACTCTATAAGCCCCGGGGGGCTATTTTTTGACAGCGGGGCTTTCGCTTTGGCCGTTCACAATTGAGCCACAGTTTGTGCTCACACAATGGCGCAGTTTATATTGTGTGACGAGTGAACAGTTAAAAAAATGAGAGGTTACAGCGACATGGAAATGGGTCTACAGTCTACCCTGAATTTATGCGGGTTGGCTAACCTTGGGAGCTTTGCTGTCAAAAAGGCTTTTTTAAATTAGTTCTGGGAATCGTCATTTACTTTATAGGTAGTAAAAATGATTACTTCAAAAAGTACAACTTAAAATATATAATTTGTTAAATTTAGTTTGGTCAAGAAGCAAGTTAAACTTTTTAAAAGATATATATATTAAAAAAGTTAGTTTAGTTTCGTAAAAATAAGGTCTATTAAAGACAAAACAACTATTATTGAATTAAATACTTTTTTATTAACATATTTGTTAATATTTTTGAGACTTCTGGAAACCATATTAATTTAATGAAACTATTACAACGTACAGATATTCACAAAAAGCGTTGAACGACTTGACACTGCTTTTCACTTTTTTGCCACTGCGTCACTCTTTTCATAGCCGGACGAGCTTGAAAACGTGTTCAATATTTAACACTTTTTGTCGGCTTCTGATTGCTGTCATCCCTTAACCACCCTCGATTGCGCGACTTTTGTAAATTGTAAAGCTTTCCACGCGGTTCGGCGGCGTATGATTAATTTAAAACTGTGTCAAACCACACACACACACAAATGCCACGCCCACTGTTCCATGGTCCATGGCGCAAACAAAAAAAATGTCATTTAGATGCAAAAAAAAGTGCCACTGTCGGTTGTCAGATACATGACTCCAATTAATTTCGCACAAAGTCCATAAAAACTAACGAGTCAAAGTGGCACCAAGCGAACGAGTGGAAATTAGTGTTGCTCACTATGGATTATAAAATAGGAAGTAAATGGGTTCATAGAAGCTAACTAAAATGACTGGTTAGTATAGGTTCCCAAAATTGATAATTAAATGATAATAAGTTTTAGATCTCAAATTAAATATTGATATTTCCAAGCTAACTAAAAGTGAGAACAAAAATGATCTATGTTTAGATATCGGAACCGAATCTAATCTACTTTGTTGTTAATAAGTTTCGATTATTAAAATTAAATATATTATACCCTCTTGTTTGGCAACCATAAATCATTGCTTGAATTACAATTTAGCGAAGTTAAATATTTCTCATTTATTTTTTTATCTAAGGGACATCCCAGAACCTTACAAAGTACGAGCCTTGAAAAGCACCACTCCAATTCGCATTCTGCATAAAATGTTCAAATGTTGCCGGTGGCGGTTGGCTTTATTTGTTTTGTTGCCGGCGGATAGGGCAGTTCTCTGATGCGATAGGGTTAAAGTGGGATGTAGGTGTTGGGTGGCAGTGGGCGGGGCAGCGACAGCATGTGGCATTTGTGGTTTTGACGCTCTACAACCAACCACATGTAAATGACGTTCGTCGTTCGTTATTGGTGGCGCGGTTGCCTCGCATAAAATTGTGTGTAAAATCAGGCGGGAAAATGGGGTTTGGAAAAAAAAGTTGCGAGTTGAGAGGGTTCTGAGGTCGGGGGCTTCTTCGTTTGGCGGATGCCACTTGCCGGCATTTAATTTGTAATTGCGATTGCATTACGTGTCACGAGACAGAGAAACCATTTTTTCCCCTGCTTTAATTGAGCGAACGGGGTTTTAAAGTTTATTTACCTACAGCTGAGCGAACGACAATCGAATTGGTTATCTGGTGTGGTTCAAATAAAGTCAAATGGAATGAAAGGCGTTATCCGGGTCAGCTAGTTTAAAATATTATTTTAAGGGTCTATAGATCTTTGTTATTAAGACCTAGCTTAGAATAATACAATTTTAATATTAAATTAAATTAGTTAAATGAAAAAGAAAAAATGTTGAATAACTGTGACTAATAAATTTATAACAAGGCTTTTTCGACCACTCAAATATTCTCTTGGAAATAGCACGTTAGAGTCTTTCTAGTATATATTTTAGCCAAGCCAACACATTTCTTGCCTGCAGACTTAAAGATTAAGCTTTCATTTACTTCAATAAGACTATAGAATTAATTCATCGTAAAGCAAATTGTCCTTCAGAGAGACCACAAATACCAACACATTGAATACATTTCGTTAAGGTATAATACTATATGCATTAGCTGAGCCAGCAATGTTTAAGGGTAATTTGAATAGGAGCCAAAGCCAGGCCAAAACCAAAAGGTTGACAGGGCCAACAAACTGGCAAACACAAACAAATCGAACGAATACTGAAGGACGCTTCAATCGAATTGATAGCTTTTATTTTGTCATTGCCAATGCAATCTCGTGTGGATAACTCATTTAATGAGAAATCTAATAACAGACTTGTGTGTGTAAGACCACCTACGACCACAATGCCATCAAAGCCAGGTTAGGAACAAACAACAAACCAGAGGCTCATGGGCTTCTAGGGTCTAAAACTCAGACTCAGTTATAGTTAACCGAGGGGCATAAAATAATTTGCAAGCAAACAAACAGCTGCCAAATCAAATCCATTTTCAACACTTTGAGAAATTCAGTAGTTCTTTCAAACAGTAAAAAATGTTCTCTTGTTTAAATGTATTTCCTATCATTATATGTACATAGTTGACTCCATTTTTTTTTAAAGGCGTTAAACAATTTTAATAATAATTTGAATTAAGGGATAAGGAATATGGATAACAATTTTTAATCAGAAATATTTTTTTTTGACTTAAGAACCTTTTGTTTTAATAGTAATATATTTTAGTCAATAAGAAAACATATATATTTAAAGGTAAACTTATGTTAATACATTTTTTAAAGAGAATGGTTTTTTTGAATCAAACGCACAAAACAATTTTGGATTAAATTGATATTACTGTGAAAGCGTTTCCTGACCCGAAATTGGAATTTTTTGTTCTTATACAAATTTTTGAATATTTTGTATTGAATATATTAATAATTTGTGTGTAACTTGGGTTTCACAGCCTCTGGACCGTGATCAGCCCAATGGCAGGCCACAGTGGCGCTTCACAGTATTCGCCCAGGACGAGGGCGGCGAGGGCCTGGTCGGCTATGCGGACATCCAGGTCAACCTGAAGGACATCAACGACAATGCGCCGCAGTTCCCGCAGGGCACCTACTTTGGGAACGTCACCGAAAACGGCACCGCCGGCAGTTCGGTGATGACCATGTCCGCCGTCGACTACGACGATCCCAACGAGAGCACCAACGCCAAGCTGATCTACTCGATAGAGAAAAACGTCATCGAGGAGGAGACCGGGGCGCCCATTTTCGAGATCGAGCCGGAGACGGGACTCATCCGAACGGCGGTCTGCTGTCTGGACAGGGAACGCACTCCGGACTACTCCATCCAAGTGGTTGCGATGGACGGAGGCGGTCTCAAGGGTATGTATTGGTCTATGTGCCCCAACTCAATCATTTTCTCCAGCTGCGAATATGCTTTCATAAGCCCAGAGGCTGGCATTTGTATCTAAATTCGCTTAGCCTTCTCCGATTGCCACAATATGTCTGCTGCTATTTATAGATTTGGCATTGCAATTACATAAGTCTTTAGTTAAATTTGGCTTTGAAATTGAGCCTTTACTCAGGGGCATCATTAAAGCTTACAAAATTTCCGTTAATGGGCATTCGCTTGGAAAACACCAATAAATCTTAAATTAATACATGTTCATTGCGCAATAACGAGTAAAAGAAAAATCAAAAAGTAAACAAATTTTTGGTTAGGCAAATAACTTATCAAGAACATAAATAAAGTTTGTTTAGAGTCCCTCTTCTTATTTCTCCCACTGTATCTGGGTTTAGTCGACTCCCATCTGATGCACTCTGTCTGTTCTGTTCTGTTTGCTGGCTCAATTTGCAGGAACCGGCACCGCCTCGATTCGCGTCAAGGACCTCAACGACATGCCGCCGCAGTTCACGAAGGACGAGTGGTTCACGGAGGTGGACGAAACGAATGGCACTTACATCCCGGAGACGCCCATTCTCACGGTGACCGTTCAGGACGAGGACGAGACGAACACGTTCCAATACAAGGTGGTGGCGAACAGTGGTTTCGGGGCGGACAAATTTGCGATGGTGCGCAATGGCGACGGCACGGGCTCACTGAAAATCATCCAGCCACTGGACTACGAGGATCCGCTGCAAAGCAGTGGTTTCCGGTTTCGCATTCAGGTGAACGACAAGGGCGACGATGGACCCAGTGGAAGTGATAAGTACCACGTGGCCTACTCCTGGGTGGTTGTGAAGTTGCGGGATATCAACGACAATGTTCCGAAATTCGATCGCGAGCACATAGAAGTTTCCATCTATGAGGACACGAAAGTGGGAACTGTCTTGGAGCAGTTCAAGGCAAGTGATGCCGATCAGGGTGGCCACTCCAAGGTTATTTACAAAATAGTCCGCTCCACAAATCGAAGAAGGCAGTTTGCCATAAGTGATAAGGGAGCGGTGAGCATACAAAGACCGTTGGATAGGGAAACCCTGGATCGTCATCACATTCAAATACACGCAATTGACGATGGCAACCCTGCTCGAACCGCAACTGCAACCCTTACCGTGATTGTTAAGGATGTGAATGATAATGCACCGACCTTCGCGCAGGACTATAAGCCCACTTTGCCGGAAAATGTGTCTGGGAAAAAAATTGTGGAGGTGGCAGCCAAGGATGCAGATGATCGGCAAAGGGGAAATGGCGGACCCTTCACTTTTCGACTGGATCCCTTGGCCAGCGATGAAATAAGAGCGGGATTTAAAGTGGAGTACGATCGCAGTAAGTACAATTACTAATATAAGGATAAAGGATAGCAATAATTGATAGCTTATTTTGCTTTGAAAAAAGATAAACGAACGCTTAATTATTTAAAATACAGACTTAACGAGCATTTAATTATTCAAAATACAAATTTAATTTAATAATTTCAACTCCATTACCACTTTGCTGAAACTCAACTTCTGGTGCCAATAAAAAATAGTTATATGTTAATCGCAATCGCAAACTCGTGTACGAACTACAGCCGAGGGCGAATCGCATTGCATAATTAATGATGCAAAATATGTTTAAACGCTCACTAAGCCCAACATCTGTCACATTGGTGCAAAGCAAAAAACCTAATGAGAAATAATCGCCAACACTTGGAAAAATTACCAAATAAAATGCTGAACATATTTAATGCATTTGCTTGATTAAAAATGCATTCAATGAGATATGTCGCAGCAATTTATACCAATTACGCATATCATTAGAGTAATTATGCAAATTAATATCAAGCGAATAGCCGACCTATTTTTATTATTTATTTAGACTCTGCATTTGTTTATGGGAAAACAATTAATTCTGTATTTGAAAATCAATTATTTATATTGATACCCCAAAGCGCTTTGGGTTTTCGCTTAGAAAGAGACACTTGAAACTCGAACACGTGCCAGGTCGGCAAAAAATCACAAAATAAAAGGAGCAGAAAGTGATAAAAACACATCATTGAGGATGGACCCTAAAACAGAGGGACGCACGAATACAAATGAGAAATGAGCCCTGAAATTCAAACTGGCAAAGCAGAAAAACTGGTCGAGAAAATTGAAAAACTTGCTGTCAAAGTCAGGGACAGCATTCAAGTGACACCTCAAATTTTCTTTCATTTGATCGATTTTATTGGGGGTACTCTCGAAAGTTTTTCTTTTTTTCGGGTTTTTCGTTCAGAGTTTTTGTTTCAAATAACTCCCAACGATGGCGTAGTGTAGACCAATTTCCATTTTACAAAAGGGGAGAGCAGAAAAAAGAATTGAAAATGAAGATTGTGAGCGGAGTTGTATTTCGTGGTGGCTCTATAAATACGCTTATCGTTTGGGAATAAATTTAAATATTTTGAAAAATAATATTTAATTTTAAAGTTAGTGAAATTAAACATAGTCATAGATATGTCGGTTTCGGGATTTATTCTTAAAGCCCTTTTAAATCCGTTCTAAATCACTAGAATTTTCTTTCAACTTCTAATGCAAAGGCAAGGTAGTTTAGGCAATATAAGACTTACCTCATGCAGTGTTCTTGCTATGGTTGCAATAGTTAAAAAAATTCCCAGAAAATGTAGTTGAAACTGAAAACCTTTGCTTTCGCGCATGTACTCTTAGGGGTAGTCCATGCAAGGAATACACCAAAACGCAATGAAAACAAAAGCCGGCCGGACATGGTCAACTGCATCAACCGAGATGATGCCTCGAGGCTGGGTTCTGTCCACATTTCCACCGCTTCCCTGTTTCTCTGGCACTTTCCAAACGATTTCTCTATCTCTCCCTGCACTCTGTTGGCTTTTACTGAGTTTTTTTCGGTTACTAACTTTGTGGCACAAACAATGCTGATGATGCTGATTGTCTGAAACATAATTCAATCACCATTACTATGCAAACACAGTTTGGTTTAGCGTTTGATTTCGACTTTGATTGTGTGGCAATTGCCTTGAATGAATGAACTGAATTGGTTGGAGTGCCGAAGAGCAGAGTGGCAGTGGTGAAGTGGTTCGGTTTCGAATTGCAAGTTGTTTGATTTTAGCGTTTTCTGGTTAGTTTGGCCAAAGGCAGTGGAACAGATTCGCGTTGAATGGTATTGGAATGTGTAAATCGATCGATGGAATTTGAAAATTTTGTCTGTAAATGTTTTAAGCTAGCCGATTGCACTAAAATGCATTTAAATGTTGACAATCTTATTTATTTATGCCTTTAAATATAAAACTGTAAAAAAATTTTCAATTATCTTTTCAGGAGGTGACAGTGGAAATGGCGTGGCCATCATCTCATCCCTTCGTCCTTTCGATCGCGAGGTCCAAAAGACCTATGCCATTCCCATCGAGATCAAGGATAACGGAGCTCCTGCGATGACCGGCACCAGTACTCTCACCGTGACCATTGGCGATGTGAACGACAACAAAATGCAGCCGGGCAGCAAGTCTGTGTTGGTGTATAACTACCAAGGACAGTCACAGGACACACAGATAGGCAGGGTCTACGTCAACGATCCCGACGATTGGGATGTTCCGGACAAGAAATACTACTGGGAGGTTCAGGAACATCAAAGATTCAAGCTCGATACGGATACGGGAATTCTAACAATGAGAGCGGGAACGCGGAGAGGTCGCTATCAGCTGAGGTTCAAGGTCTACGACCGTGAACATGGTCAGGAGGATATCCCCGCCAACCTAAGCGTTACAGTGCGCGACATAACAGCAGAGGCGGTGCAGCAAGCTGGTTCCATGCGATTGGCCCACATAACCGATGAGGATTTCGTGAGAACTTGGAACCCAGTCAAAAATCAAGTGGAGCCCTCTAAGTTGGAAAGGTTCCGTAACAAACTGGCCGAATTGTTGTACACAGATCGCGATAATGTTGACGTGTTTAGTGTGCAACTTAAGGAAGGTTCTTCCTATCCCCTGACCGATGTTCACTTTGCAGCCCGTTCTGCCACGCAACAGCCGTTCTTCAAGGCAGTTCGCTTGAATGGCGTTGTGCAAATGCACCGGGAAGAGATTGAAAAGGACGTGGGCTTGAACATCACCATGGTCAATATAAACGAGTGCTTGCATGAGGGCAGGGGAAAATGTGGCTCCACTTCGTGCACCTCCAAGGTGGAGTTGGGTAAAAAGCCCTACACGGTCAGTGTGAATCGCACCGCTTTGGTGGGAGTTCGCTTGGATATCAGTGCGCAGTGTGTTTGTCGGGCCAGGAACTTCACCAATCAGGATCACAATTGCAGGTCGCATCTGTGCTACAATGGCGGCCGATGTGTGGAGACCCGAAATGGTCCGAAGTGCGTGGCCTGCCCCTTGGGCTACAATGGTCCGCGATGCCAGCAGTCCACCCGGAGTTTTCGCGGCAACGGTTGGGCCTGGTACCCTCCACTCCAGCAATGCCAGGAATCCCACCTCAGTTTGGAGTTCATCACCCGGGCAGCCGACGGCTTGATACTGTACAATGGACCCATTGTGCCACCGAAAGCGGGTGAAACCGTGGTCAGTGACTTCATAGCCATCGAATTGGAACAGGGTTATCCGCGACTTCTCGTAGATTTCGGCTCGGGTACTCTGGAACTTAGGGCCAAAACAAAGAAGACCCTGGACGATGGCGTCTGGCATCGCTTGGATATTTTCTGGGACTCCGAAAACGTGCGGATGGTTGTGGACTTTTGCCGCACGGCCCTGGTCTCCGAAATGGAGGATGGCACTCCGCCGGAATTCGATGACAATGCGTGTCAGGCGAGGGGGCAGATACCCCCATTCTCAGAGTCGCTAAATCTAAACCAGCCGCTTCAGTTGGGCGGACTCTATAGGCAGCACTTCGATCAAACGCTGTACAACTGGCAGTATGCCTTCAGCTCCAAGGGCTTCGATGGCTGTATACGCAATGTAATCCATAATTCCGAGCACTATGACCTGGCTTTTCCGGCCCTGGCCCGCAATAGTTTTCCCGCCTGTCCGCAAACCGATGAAGTCTGCCTGAAAACCGAACACACGGCCCGCTGTTGGGAGCATGGAAATTGCGTGGCCAGTTTGGTCCAGGCCAAGTGCCATTGTCAGCCGGGCTGGATGGGTCCCGGCTGCAATGTGCCCACCATTCCAACGACATTCAAGGCCCAGAGTTATGTGAAATTCGCCCTCAGCTTCGAGCCCGATCGATTTTCCACACAACTGCAGCTGAGATTTCGAACGCGGGAGCAGGGTGGCGAACTGTTCCGGGTTAGCGATCAACACCACAGGGAGTACGCCATCCTGGAGCTCCGCAGGGGCCACCTTCAGTTCCGCTACAACCTGAACTCGCTGCGAAACGAGGAGCAACTGCTGACTCTGACTGCCATCGCCGTTAACGATGGCCAGTGGCATGTGATTCGCGTTAGTCGCTATGGATCGGCGGCCCTAATGGAACTGGATGGCGGGGAGTCGAGGCGGTACAACGAGTCCTTCCACTACACCGGCCACCAGTGGCTCAGCATCGACAAGCAGGAGGGCGTCTATGCGGGCGGCAAGGCCGAGTATACGGGCATCAAGACCTTTGAGGTGCAGTCCGACTTTCAAAGGAGCTGCTTGGACGACATCAGGTGAGGGCTAATCCCGCATTAAGTCTTTCACTTTGCTGGGACACTCTTTTACTCTTCCGATTTTAGAACAAATTTAAGCCAAAGACATGCATTTTTAAACAGTTTATTTCAGTACTTCAGTTACTGATTGTATCGACTGTAATGGTTGACAGTTTATTATACAAAATACAAAATCAAGTTTAATCAAGAAAAAAAAACATTAAAAACCAATTTTATATCTACAAATATTAGTACTTCGATTTTAAATTAATGTTGTTTTGCCATACACCTTTGAATAATAACTTAAGTCGTTTACCAACTTTTCTACAAACATGTAAACAATATTTTAAAATCCTTGAACTTGCTTAGCCATATATTCCTGATAAAGCCCTAATTATAAAAAGTACTAAAAATAAAAAGGCATCACTACCCATTTTGCAAATTAAAAAAATACATGCGCATTTAAAAAGAGCATTTTGCTTGTTTTTTTTGTGAGCTTAAAATAAATCAGACATCGAAAAAGAAGAGATTTTGTAAGTGAACTGTACTTAAATAACATCTGCAATTAAACTTTTTGCCATTAGATGATTTTGCAAATCAAATGTTCTAGAAATCGAAATAAGGCTGCTTAAGTTAGTGCGAGTACAAGTGCACCCAGCTAATCAAAGACAACAGGAAAGGGACAAATTTTTAGTGCACTTCGATTGCCGACATTCATGCATAATTTTCCTTTTTGCCCCCCTTTCTTGCCCCGCCCCTTTTCCGGCCGGCAGGTTGGACGGAAAACACCTGCCCCTGCCGCCGGCCATGAATGGCACCCAGTGGGGCCAGGCGACGATGGCCCGGAATCTGGAACGCAACTGCCCCTCGAATAGGCCCTGCTCGAATGTCATCTGCCCGGATCCCTTTGACTGCGTCGACTTGTGGAACGAATACGAGTGCACGTAAGTACAGCTTTTTCATTTTGACTTCCTGGCCACCACTTCCACTTCCTTTGTGAGCGTTGCATAGTAATTTATTGGGTTTCCGATTTAATTACAGCCCCTTTGTTTGCCTTTGATGGCAAGCCAAAAGACCTAATTAAATCGAAACAAATTACAAACGTACAAATACGTTCATTATTTCTTGATAAGTAGAGTTTAACATACTATTTTTTGAACAAAAGTTGCATAATTTAAACATCATATATGGCAAAGGAAGTTATCACTTGCAAACATCAATTTATGTATCAGAAAGCCATTAAGGTGGAAGCGAGCAAGGAGTGGTATACATATTTCCGAGAAAATATCCCTGCCATTTTCCAGCTGCAGACACACAGACAACGCCAAACAGCAAATTGACTCCGAATGCAAAACAAATAATATCAATTGTCATTGCCTGTCTTCGTTTGCTCATGGAAAGCCAGACACCGCAGAAATAGAAGGTTTCACCTAGAAAAATTTTACCGAGAAGTTGAACAATACAAAAGAAATAAGAAAAATAAAAACCAGATATATTAAAAACATAAATAGTAAAACAAAACTTTGCATTTTATACCACCTAATTTTTTAACATATCAGATTATTTAGTATAAAAAATTATAATGGGAAAATATTTAATTACATGAACTAACTAATTTTGTTGTTATTTTTTTAAAATAAAATTGATTTATTTCAACGATGTTGTTCATTTGCCTTCTTTATTTATTTTGTAAGGCTCCTATCTTTTTTACAAAATACACTTGACCTTAAATATAGTTCTCTTCAAACGTTTCTTAAAATTATTCAAACTTACAAAAATTCTTGCTTAGAAAAATGTTTAGGAACTCAAATATGATTTTCTCCGTGTTTAAGTATAGTGCTTGGAAAATATTACTTTTTTTTCGAGTGTTTGCACATAGAAATATCTATGTTTGCCTGGCTGGGAATCTGGGGCACGACTCCTGATCCTGGAGCTTCTGCTCTGACTCTGCAACACCTCATCGATGATGGGTCGCCATCTATGGTAGCGGTGGCAATGGCAGTTCCAGTTCTCTGGCCCGAGAGCAGAGCACATTTTCCACATCATTAGTTTTGCGGAGTGACTCCATTCGAGAGCCGACGACAGGCGGCAAGGACACCCAATCTGGCACTGCATCATGTCCTAGTCGTTCCCCATCCCCACCATCGTTCAGGGGAAGACTAAGCACCCCCAGCTGTGAGCTTCTCGCTCCATTTGCTTTCGGGAACGGGAACATCTGGGCCTGCTGCTGCTTTTAAAACACGTGTTCGCCAGGCTCGCCTCCTTGCGGTCTTTTTTTCTTTCTTCTTTTGAGATAAATTTAAATAGTGGCACACGCCTTGCCTTCAGGTGGCGACGTGTCATAAATTATGCTTACTTTAGCCCCAATTTCCCAGCAAGCTGTGGGCAGCAGTTAGCGCAGTGGCTCGGCTGGAATTTGTGTCACTCACTCAGGACTTGCGACTCCAAAGATGTCGGACAAGCAGCTGCCCTCAAATTGCAACACGAAATGGCTCAATTTAAATGTGCAAAATGTGCGAAATTTAAAATTTTGCTTTTTTACGCGCTTAAAACTTTAATTTCCCCTTCGCTACATTGTCCAGGGATTCCTGTCTAACCAAAACTTCACGCCCTTAATGCGCTTCGAAAAATATTTGAGGGGGGCGCAGCTCATGGGGGAATTACTCTATCCCCTGGTTGCACAACTTTGGGCCAAAATAAAAAGAGTTTTTATTTCGAAAAAAAAAATTAGAGATCTAAAGTTGGTACATACTATTTACATAGACTGTAATAATTTTTTTTAAGGGCGAAAGATAAGAATTCATTGAAAAACGTTGTCATTATATATTACCCAGAATTTTGTGTTTTACATTTTTTTTTTAATTTGAAACTAAGGCTAAATTTATGCGTTTAGTGTTTTTTTTAGTTTCTTCACTCATTTTCATTTAATACCTAACTTTTATTTTGCTTATCGGTAGTTAATTATTTATTAATTTAAATAATAGTTTTTTATTTGCTTACAAGACTGTGTAACTGTAAAAATCAATTTTAATTTTACTGATTGAGGTTAATTTTTATAAGTGTATTGGAAACAATAAACACTGAAATTTTTGTGGCAGCATTCGTTTCTGCAGCGTTCATAAATCGTCTGATTACTTAAAACGTACATGTATATCTATCCATTAAGATTTTTATTTGATTTTTTTCCCGAGTGTAGGGGCAAAGAGAAGCAAGAAAATCTTTGTGGCAGCATGTATTTGCCATGCTGCGCCGTAATCGCCTTTGAATTCGTAATAACTCTCCCATCCGCCGATTTTTTTCGTTCCGTCTCGTTTCAGTTGCAGCGAGGGTCGCATCATGTCCTCGGACACCAAGGGCTGTGTGGACAGGAACGAGTGCCTGGACCTGCCCTGCCTGAACGGAGCCACCTGCATCAATCTGGAGCCACGGCTCCGGTACCGCTGCATTTGCCCCGAGGGTTATTGGGGCGAGAACTGTGAGCTGGTGCAGGAGGGCCAACGCCTGAAGCTGAGCATGGGAGCCCTGGGGGCGATTTTCGTTTGCCTGATTATCATACTGAGTAAGTACGAGCGGCGGCGACCGCAAGTGAAGACCCCCAAAGCGGCCTGCAAAGCTCCTTCCGAAAATTTCCCATTCATGTGTGACAATTAAGCGGCTTAAGCAGCAACATTGCTTGCGTTTCAACTCTCCAACCCTCCATTCCCTTCCTCTTTTCCCATGTTAATGCAATTTGCTGTGGGGGCTAAAGGAAAAACCACCTCCGCAAAAAGCAAAAAAAAATATGTAACGACACTGACATCTGTTTGGACAGTCGCGACCCTGTGTGGGCAAAAAAAAAATAACATGGAGGAGACCCATGCATTTTGCACAGCATAAAGTGGCAACAAATCTTGTATTCGTTGCTTTATTTTTGTAACACTTTTTTATGCCCAGACAGGGGCAATTTGTTGGTTTAGCTAAAAAAAAAGGGGACAAAAATATTTGCATAGCGGCTAATTAAGCTGAGGAAAAAGGAGGAGGAAAGTTTACATGTTGTCTGCAGGAGTAGTAGTATAAATTGTTGGAATAGTTAAGGAAACAATTTGTGAAATGCCATTCAGAATTTATGGGAATTAAGTGTTGCTGTAATTCATTGTAAAGTATTATAAAACTCTTTTATTTAATGAATACGAACTTTATCTGAGTTGGTCATATAAACTATACAACCCTACTATATTTTTGATCTCTTCTAATTAGTTAGCCTAAAATGAAATAAATTTCAGAAGCTTAAAATACCTTTAATCAATAAATAAATACATAAAAAATTGAATTTAACCTTTTTGCAAAAACATTTTGAATAGAGACAATTCAGTTTCATCCCACTTTTCGTTGGTTGTTCATTCACTACGTTGCCTAAGCCAATTAGGGCCATTTTATTGCTTGAAAAAATCTCTGAAAATGGAATAAAATTTCAACAAAATTCTGAGCACTTAATGGATTTCGCGAACTAGTGTTAAGTGGCTTTGGTCATTTGGTTATTTTTCACTTCCTTTATTTGCAGCCGGCCCATGCAAATGCGTTTCCTCGCACGCAATGCGCGACAATCTATTTTCGTTTCGCCAGCTTGTCTGGGATTTAAAGGGATTTTCAATTAGCGCAGCATTTGCGCCCATTCCAGATTGGTTTTCTATGCCCCTCTTTCTCTTTGTGAATTCTGGCACACTGTAGGCCATTTATTTTTGGCCATATTTAAAAGTGACGCTGATTTATCCGGCCAGGGGGGGCGAACTTAAATGAGTACTTGCGCCAAAGTTGCAGCTGGGACAACAACAAAAGGCGAAAGGAAAAGCGAAAGCCTAAGCTAATTAGTCGCTGCTAAGGCAGATAATTACACAGTTGGCTGCGGGCGGAAAAACAAAGACTGGAAGTGGCCATAAAGCCGCTAAACCGCAAAATAGGCGCAATAAATAAACGACGAGCCAACAAAAGCACTTTCATCTCGTCCCTTTTTTATGATGTGAAAATATCTCAGGAAGCGAAACATAAAATCTGACAGCAGCAGTCTTGTCTTCGGTTTGTGTTGATTCCCCGCCAAGTGGCGTAAAGTTTTGTGAAGGGGGGTGAAAAAAAACAAACTAAATAATTATCTAACATTATTTACAGTCAACGCTTTTGCATGCCCTGTCTGCGGAGCGGCTGCTGTGTAATCTGTGAATCGCTGAACTGTATTTTAGCATAAAGTTTCAAGTGTCCGAGCGGAGCTGGAACTACAAAGTCGCCCCCTTGCCTTGATGAGCTGACCTGGTCAGCAAGTTCAGGCCAGCAACAAGATATTCCATACCAGGGTCCTTCGTCCTGTACAGCTACAGCTAAGTGCAAACAAAGGCCGTTAAAGAGCTTTCGGTCCGGCATTGTTCATCTTACAGGATATTTTTGCCTTTGTTTTTGCTAGTTTTTATGTAGGTTACTTGATGTTCTCCTCTGGCTGTTGTGCAGTTTTTCGGACAACTTCTTGTTTTATTTTCCTGGTCGGAGCGGAGGTAATGTTGATTAAAGGTTGATGAATGAACAGTTGGCCCTGGCCTGCTTAGCAAAATATTGTAAGCTTTATTCCCGGTTGCAGCCTTTAAAATGGTCTTTTGTAAAGTATTTTTAGTGCAAATTGAGCCAACGAATTGGTTAGGCCAATAACTGAGTTGAGTGCTTTGTTCCATAGTTGGATTTTTAAGCACGTTTCATGGGGTAATTAAATTTATAACTTTTCTCAGGCAAATAAATTTTTTTATTTAACTCGATTAAGCGTTGGAAAAATAAAATAAAATGTATTTCGTTATAAATTGCTTTTTAGGTTTAAAAAAAATGGTTAATTATTTGATTCTTAATAATTAAATTGAAACCTTTTATTGAAACCTTTTATTGAAATGTCGTAAAAATTTTATTAGCTACTGTGTTTAAAATAAAATTATTATTTTAAACTGAATTAGGTATTTTCTATCTTTGATCTTAAAAAAAGAAAACATGTATAACTAATGGAATTAAGTTGATTTCTAAATCATTTTGTACAGAGATTTACTTTTAAAATTAACTTTTTTAATAATTTATTTTCACCTGTCAAAACGGAAAAAAACTTTACAGAATGCTCATCTATTATTTACGAAAGTTTCGAAAACAGATTTGGTGTGCTTCGCTTTTAGGACGAATTATCGAAGATTTCTGTTGGTTGTTTTTGGGTGGGGGCACATTAATAGTAAAACTTGTGCGCAAGATAATTTAGAAAGTTTTCTCGCTCCTTTCTGCGGCGAGAGGCAAATTTAATGCACTTCAAGCCATGGCCGAGAACTCTGGCAGTGAACTATTTTTGGTTCAATTCGGTTCTTGGTTGCGGCTTTGGGTTTTGTCTCTTGCTGCTGTTGCAACTTTATGCTGTAATTGTTGCATTAAACTTTCCAGCTCCCAGAGTCACAGGACATCTCGAACGGGGATGGTTTTGGGGAGGTGTGGAGTGAATCCCCCACATTGACAGTCATTTGACAGCTAAGCGGATTACAAGTCGGCCAAAAACATTCACATTCGAAATGCACATTTCGAGTGTCCCCGAGTCGTTGTAGCATGAAAACTTGTTAAGTTTGTGTGTCCTTTCTGCGTTTGCCTTTTTACTTTAGTTTGCGTAAGTAGCATCAAGTTATTAATAAGTTTTCCTCCACTCAACCGCTGCAACATGTTCTCGGAAAACTCCCAGCCCTCGCTCCTTCTGTTTGTCGGGTAAACAGGACTATTAACAAAAAATGAAAATACTGCCAACAGAGAATCTTCTCGTAGACTTGCATTTTATCATTTGCGCTTCAGTTGACAGGAATATTAACTTGACTCCGTCACAGTCGGTTTAAGCAAACAGCTAAGTAAAAATAATTAAAACTCTGGCTCGACATCTCCAAAACGACAAGCCAGCCAAGGATGTTTCTTCGCATTTGCCACCCCCTTTTTTTCGGTTTTTAATGCCCCAGCATTTCTTCTGGGCTAAGCGGATTCATTAGTTGCAATAACTGCCAGCTGACTTTCGCAACGACAGGCAGAAAGTTCATTTATAAGGAAAAAGCATAAAACATTTCTCCAGCGGCGTTGATTTTCTCGTAATTGTTGGCAACTTGATGCCGCCTTGAAATCGTTATCTTCTTAAATTTCGAATGCTTTATTTGTTGCCACACATAAGCTTATTGACTTTTGCACCACAGAGCTAATAACCATTTTAACAAACCAATTATTAAAAAGCCATAGTTGAATAGAATTTGTTTTTTATTTCATAAAGTCTTTAAGCTTTAGAGCATTCCTACCTTCTACAATCACAAAGTTTCCGCTTGCTCTCATTTACTAAGTGTGGGAATGCGAAAGCGAAACAGAACAACATTTTTCCCTACATTTAATTACCTTCATTAAATGTAAATGGAGTTGTTGTTATGGCTCTGACAGTTAACAGACACCCAACAGACACCCAGTCTTGGCTTAGGTTTTTGGTTCACAATTTCAGTGTTTTTTGTGCCTTTAAAAAAAATACAACGGACATAATGGGCAAAAAGGACTGTTTTGATAATGAGAAGGAGAGAAAAAACAGTGGACTATCTTAATAGATATAATTTAAAGAAATGGCATACGAAAGATGGCACTATTTAGTCCAACTATAAGAAAAGAATCTTAGTAATTAAATAAACAGCTGAAAATGTTATAATGTCATATTAAAATTAAAACATTATTTGGATCCGATTTTTGACAATCACTTTTTGTGATAAATGCTCAAAGTTGTGTGTTCTCTTATCGATGATAAGAAATTCTTTAAAAAAATTTGGTTGATAAGAATTAAAGGTTAAGATTTTAATTTGATTTAACCACTGAAATTTAGTCCAAACAAAATAACCCGAATGAATATTTGAGAGACTTTCTTAATAAAATACTTTGAAAAATTAATACGTTCTCTTTTATTTGGAGAATAACCTTTCCTTGAAATAAACTAACACTTTTTTAATATTTTTTCCATATATTTTTCAGTTCTCGCCCTAATCTTCGTGCTCTATAGCCGCAAACGCAAGACGACCAAGAAAAAGAAGCGCTCGGGTCCGGAGAAGGATGTCCGGGAGACGGTAATCAGTTACGAGGACGAGGGCGGCGGCGAGGACGACATGACCGCCTTCGACATAACGCCCCTGCAAATACCAATCAGCGCCCAGGGAGGACCGCCGGACATCGCCGCCTGCAAGATGCCCATAATCTGTGAGTAAACATGGCGATAAATGGGACCGAGTGGGACTGGCCGAGTAATTGGGCGGTTGTTTGCACTTAGACCCCGTGATGACGCTGCTGCCACCTGGCCAGGAGCTGAACGTGGCCTATCTGATGGAGGAGCGCAAGCAGCGCATCGACAAGGACAACAACGCGCCGCCCTTCGACGACCTGCGCAACTTCACCTTCGAGGGCAGCGGCAGCATCGCCGAGTCGCTGAGCTCGCTGGCCTCCGGTAAGGCACTCTTTCACACTTTAAACAAATCTGAGAAATTTGCCATCAAAAATCCACACAAGTCTACAATCATAATTTAAGTAGTTTAAAGATTTGACACATTTTTTTTATGACATCAGAACCTTGAGCCTGTTATTTCGTCGTTATAATAAGATCATTGCATTAAGAATTAAAAATATATTAGATTACTTTTGAAAGCTAGGACTTTAGCTTAACGTTTAGACATTTTAATTCTGAAACCTAATTTTAGCTTACCAAAAATACGAAAATAATGGTTCTAAAAGTCTTGAAAATGTATTAGCAAAATAAATAAATATACAATTTTTACAATATAGGTCAACAATATTGTAAATATATTAATTTTAGCTTATCATATACACGAAAAAAATGTATTAGAAAAAATAATAAATATTAAGTTCATAACTTTTTAAAATGAGAGCTTTTCAAAATGAGAATAAAAAAAATGGAGCTCCTTAATGTCTTAACTATGAAAAATCGATCTAAGAATGAGTCGAGTTAAAAAGTTTAAATTTAAACCGCCACTTGACCTCGATTTGACAAAAACTCATACCAAAATCCGGTTAAGTATAAATTAGGTTTCTAAGTTCAATCAAATACCTAAATTTGATGGCTTTTCTCGCTATCCTACTTGCACTTACCGAAGACATCCCCTAACTGGCTACTCCCACTTGTCCAATTCCAGGCACTGATGATGAGAATCAAGACTTTAACTATCTGCAGAACTGGGGTCCACGTTTCAATGCTCTGGCCGCCATGTACGTGCACGATAAGGCGAAAGCCAAGCAGCTCCCATCGGATGGCGGTGGAGGATCTGCGGATGTAACAGGAGCCTCATCATCGTCGCCATTGGGAGGAGGTGGCATTCCGGGCGATGTCCTTGCCGTGGTCGCAACGGGCAGTGGGGCAGGTCCTGGCGGCGGCGGTGCCAGCGGGTTAATGCCCCTGCCCAGCATCGACAAAGTTGTATTATAAAAATAAATAGTTAAGTTGTAGTTAAAATGATGTTTCAGCTGTAAGCACGATGGGGCAAACACTTTAAACGAAACAGGTGTTTTGTGTATTCGTGTGTCTGGTTAGGGTTAAATTGTATGTACTGTGGCTACTGTGGAATTCAAGACTAACTTAAGGTATTAGGTGTTTTTTCACATATAAGATATTGAGGGGCTTAAATAGGGATTGTCTTCAGTTACTTCTTCTAACTGAATCTCTAAACGTTTGCACAAGGACAAATATTTTACTTACGCATTATTGCTTTAAAAGTTTCGTTACGTTTACATATAAAATGTCATCTTTGGAAAAAATAATGTAATGGTTAAAACAAGTTTAAAATTATTGTTTTAAAACAGGTTAAAGTTTTTTCTATGTTATCTTTATAATGAAGATAAATATTTAATTGTATGTTCTGTATTTAAATTGAAAACCTATAAAGAACCCACGGAACAAAGTTCACCTATCGAAATCATAACTTTTCCAGGCCACCTTCTTGCAAATCTTTCTGCGTCTTCCTTTCAAAACTCATCTTCTCGATGATATTCAACTGAACCAACTGAGAAATCAATGAATAGTTCTACAATTAAAATGATATGAGTACATTAAGCATACTACAATGAAAAAGAGTTTATAAAACTTGCTACATATTAGTTAAAAATCCTGTATAAATACGGCGTTAACTCTCTAGCACGTAAGTTGAACCAAACTAAACCGAAATTTTGCCCATCCTCCAGTTGAGCGTTGCAACTTTTGTGTGCCACCGACAGGGGAACGTGTCCGATTGCCACCAAAGCAGGTGGCGCCTGCAAACCCTGAAAACCAACGCTGAAAGCTGCCACCGAACCCACGCAGCCACAAAAGTTTGCAGAGAAAAGTAGAAATTTAATAAGAGGAAAAAATCATAACTAACTTTGGTGAAAATTAAAGGTAAAGGGGAAACTCTACTGTAACATAATTTTGTACATACTAAATTCTGTAATTCTATGATTAAACTAATGGATATTGTAGAGCGAACAAATGAAAACAAAACAACTAATAGACTAATTAACTACAATTAATCCTACATTTAACTACCGACAGAAAAGCCGAAAACAAATACGAGTGTTGATCAAACCAATTTCATATTTCTGCATTTACTAGCAACTACACAACCAGTACAGAAAGTGAAAGTATTAATAATAATATTGTAATATGTATTTAATTATGAGTCATACACGAAAAACGGTTAATTACATTTACGTTAGTTAATGGACAATTTGTTAGTAGTTAGCGTCTAAGCATACTTTTTTAAAAATCAATAAAGCCACAAAAAAATTTAAGTGATTCCGTAATTTCCGAGTAATTTCCATGCCAATATACCCTGAATTTGAGTACGATTTCTGGATGTCAGCCAATCCGGCAATCCGCTTGTTGACACTGCCTAATGATCCTTGGTCCCGCCACTTCCGGGCCAGACATTGCGGCATTTGGTGGCGTGAACGCGCCGTTAGGTCCCGGCAAAGGTGTCCAAATGGAAGCCGCAGAGAGGAAGCCACTTTCGGCGCCTCCTCCGAATCCGTATCCGAATCCAAGTTCAACGAAGCGTTTGACAGGGCAACATGCATTGCCTCTTACAGAAAACCAGAAACTGTCAGGGGAACAGGCGGCTTGGGTTGGGGCGCAATCTCCTCTAGGCCGTAAAAAATGTTGAGCAGTGACCTTTGAAATTTTTCGGTTCAGGTTCCCGGTTTTTCAACCCCCACCACTGTGGATTTTCCAGGAGGAAAAAACATTTTACAGCGCATAATAAATGAGCCAGCGTGAGCCATCGATATGAAATATGGTCACCAACCATCAATTTATCCTTACTGCTCTGGTTATCCCACTTAACTTCTCTTTGTGGGATGGACAAACGATGGCTTATATAGACAGTGAAAAAATTGCTTAAGGTACTGTAAGTTCAAAATCATGTTAAAATGGGATTAGGTAAATCATTGGAATTAGCTCTTTCTAAACCAGAAGCCACGGCCATGTAATAATTTACAGATCATAATCTGACGCCTTGAAATAATTTTTGTATTTAAATCGTTCCTCGTACTTTGGTTTTACAAATTATAAAAATTAAATGGAAATGCCTTATTGCCTATTTCTTCGTCTGACTTCCTCCAATAACTTTAAGCTCGCAGTTCAGGTACCAATCCCAATCGGTATTCAACAGTTCAGATGCATGGAAGCACACAGCCTGGAATTGAGCTAATTAGTAACATTAGCATCAAGTTCCTGGGCGAGCGGAATAAGCATCTTTAGGCATCGGCAAGCCAACCGAAAACAGCCACGCAGAGATACGCAAACAGGAATTATTGATGTAAACACAAATTACTGGCTGCATTTCGATTGGTTTGAATTACAGTCTCAGCAGACGCAAACAATAGAAAAATCGTAAAAGGGTAAAGTCGGGTTGGAGGAGAATTAACTTGAGCTGCAGTGTCGAATACCAAGAATAAATGGTTTTTGTTGCCATTAAGCAAAGTATCTGATTATCAAGTCAAGCTCTTGAAATCTGTTAATTTGTGTGCGATTTGCAAATCGAAACTGATTAGCAAAGCCATTTATAAGTACAAATGAAAGAAAATTGCACAATAGAGTTGATCAGACATCTGAAACACTCGATTTTGTATTTTAGATAAAATGCAAAATATTTCGACGTCATTGACCAATTTTAGGTAGCGTAAAAAAAAAGGTTAATATTGAAAGACACTGTTTTTATTGTTATTGCTTAAAATGAAATTTTGATCTTATGGAGGCATATATTACAATTAGAAAAACAAAGCAACAAATTTTGTGTAATTTGGTTTTATGTGTCAACATTTTTTTTAGTTAAATTAAGTACTTTAAATTCAAAATACTTTATTGATTAAAAAGATTCTTATTTAACATTATCCTTTATTTATATTTATGTCAATATTTGGCAGACGTAGCGAGACGGAAACACAGCTGCATTAATCGTGTCCAAATTGTATGCTAATTACACAGATTCTCGCCTGATTTGCCACATGAACTTGCATTTTCCTCGCTGGACAGAATAAATTATTTATAAAAATCATGCAATTTGCTTAATTATTTTTGGCCACGATTTGTTCGCAGCTCTCGTCTAAAAATATTTGTGGATTACTATTTAGGCCCACGAACTGCCGCATTTCTCCATTGTTTTTCATTTGGTCAGCATTTCCATTTCCATTGGCCGACCATTACTTAACGAAAATAGCCAGGAACATTATCATGGATGTTGTTATTATTTTTAATTGAATTTTTGGTCAGGGAGGCAGAGCTATGCGAAGTTTGAACTAAGAGCGAATGCATTAAAGGTATTTACCTCGTCATTTGGCCAGCAATAATGGCTCGATAGAATGCGCAAAACATGCCCCAATTCCAATTTGTTAAAATTTACATGTTCGAGTACTTATTGTAAAATATATTAAAACAAGCAAGGCCAAGTAAAATTTGAAAACAATTTTTAAATTAAATATATACTATATCCATTGCATTTTTGGAAACTGGCGTCCATAGTTATTTGTTTTAATATCAACAAAAACTTAGAAAATCGTATATATATATTTTTTTTTTTTATTATAAAGCATGAATTCGAATTTGTCAATTTTTTGCTTCAAACAATAAGGTATAGAAATATTACTATGTTACCGTTTTTAAATTTAGCCATGACGTTGCCAGATAGGCTACAACTTGTCTGTTTAGGGCGCTGCCAGATGGGCAAAAACATAAAGACTAAATGCTCGAAATACGTCATTATCACATATAGGTGGCGGTATAGTGAACAAGAACTTGATAGCGCCACCTGCCGTCAGAATTAGTATGTAGAGGGCGCCACAGAAAATAATTACTACTGTCAAAAGCTTATTGCTCCCAGACAGCTTAAAAGCGTTGCCAGATGGGTAATAGAAAAACTTCTAAAATGTTAGAGCTTCGTCCTCAATGCAAATAGGTGGCGCCACCGTCTGTAGTTCAGAAACTCTTAATGAGTAGAGGGCGGTACAGAAAATAGTGATTACTGTCAAAAGCTTGTTGCCGGGATAAATATAAGAGTCACTGAATTGGTCTATTTTCCTTGAGAGAAATTTTAACGAAAGTGAGAAAATTGACCGAGCAAGTGAGAAAATTTCCCCAATAAGTGAGAAAATTATCCAGCAAGTGGCCCAAGCGGCGAAGCATTGAGAACAGCAGCAGCCATGTGCCATAATAGCAGTACCGTGCTCTATTGAATCGACTGCTGCTCCTACGGCCGGATCGATTGCCCAAGCCGAAATATTAAGCATTGCCTACATTTTAAAATTAGCGCCCCATCTGCTTATCGGCTTATCGGAACTAGTTGTTCGTTATCAGCCCTATCGAAATTGTCCCACCCTCAGTTCAGCACCTCTATCCTTCTCGCTCATGCCCACGCATATATCTGTCCTGCTTGGAAGCAGCAGCGGTGTATTTTGAATTTACTCGTCGTTCAACACTTCAACGGCTTAACACTGATCTCCTGCGACTTCTTTGAGGGTTGAGTTACGGCGTAGGATTATTGATTTATAGTTCTTTATAAATAAAACGCATATTTAAAATCATTACAGATTTATTTGTCTCACAATAATGTAGAAAATAAAATGAATTTAAGAAGTTCAAAGATTGACATACAAATTTAAACAAATTTATTATAATTAAGAACTACTATTGTATGTTAATATTGATGCTCCACAATGTTTCTAGTCCGCGCAGACAGATTTTGTTCCTATAATTAAATAATCATCAGTAAAATATTTAAATATGGCTTGATTTAAACAACTCACCTCGAATGGCTCCCAAGTATGTTAGCAATCATAAAAGTGGTTAGATATAAAAAATATATTTTAGTCAACTGTATTATTTTATGATCAGACCATGCCATGCATTAGAAAAAGTGTATAAAAGAGTGCACAATTAATATAAGATGTGACTGAATACTTAATATGTTTTTGGTTTGATTTTAGAAAAAAAAGTTTTTTTGATTGGACATTGGAAATAAATAAAAGAAGGATGTAAAGAAAGCATGCCGAAACATTGGGATAAAAGAGGACATTTTTTTACAGATTTAACTTTCCACAAGGAAAAAATTAAATGCCTGGTTATACATACACGCAGCATTCCTTCAGCTGTTTAAATCTTAAATCAGTTGTTTGGCTAGCTGGATATATAGGTTTTTTTTATATTTTTTTTTCTGTTATTGTAAAAAAGGAACAGGTTTTTAATTTCGCTTCCAGCTGGTTGTTGACAAACTGCGCGAGGGAATCAGAATTTTCCTTTAGTAAAATTTGCCAAAATTTATATTTCTGGAAAATCAGTTTTGAAATTTTACCACTTTGAATATAAATGTCAAACGATTCTGCATTTTTTGTTTTTTAAGTTTATAGCGTTTCCTTGTCCATTTGCTACTTCTTAATGTAAGCACTTTTTACAGTGTGGTAAGAGTTGTTTTGCTATGAGTATATGACATTATGAATTTCGTTTTAATGAACATTGATACATGTATATTTACATTTTTATTTATGTATGACAAATGTGTGATATAGAGTACCTTAATCCTAGCTCGGAGGCGAGCATTACACAATTTACCTTTCCGTGCGTAGGCGGCAGGAGCAGCAACTTCACTTATGTCTTCAGCATCATCGTCCAAGCCGTTGGTCCAAGTGTAATATTTTTGAGAGAATAAAACCTATTTTTCTTTTTGTATTTCTGTCAAATCTTTTCTTTTTGAATTTTTATTATTGAATAATAATTAAAATTTTACAATCGCCTTATTCGGGCTTTTACTTTTCTTTTCTTCATTGTTTCTTTCAACTTTTATTTTATTTTTCTTCTATAATTTACTATTTAGGTCAAAATGACCAATTTAAATTTTCTTCTAATTTTTTATGTCATATATTTTGTGTTTTTGTTTTAGTTAATTCTGTATGTTTTTTTATACGCAATTATTTAAATTTAAATACTAATAACGACATAAAAAATCAGCGCTTTTCTTTTGTTTTCTGTGTTCTTTGTTTCTTTTTCACTTTTTTTAAAATTAATTTAATTTAAATATTTACTAGGTTACGATTTCATCCCGCTTGATTTGGTTTGCTTTAAACCCTTTTTAAATGACTAATTAAATATTAATTTAAAGTTTTGTGTGTTTTCTTTTTTATTTTTAATAGAGAAAGGAGTTTGGTTTTTTTTTTGTTTTTTAAGAAATATATACTTTTTATGTATATTTTTTAAAATTCATTTAAATGCAACTAGTTGTAGGAAAAAGTTTCATCATTTGCTTCAAATATTTTGTTTTTTAATTTGTTACATAGTATACTATATATTAATATATATATACTTGTTTGTCTGTGTAAAAAGAAGTATATACGTATGCACATATATATCCATGTAAATATACACATATATGTATACACTGTGTATTTAATGGTTGATGAAAGAACTATTTTCCAAACTGTCCCTTTTATGTACTAACGTTATTAGATTTAATCTCCATCATCTGCTCCATTGCATGGCTCCGACTAATGTTGCCGATTAATTTTATTCAGCCCAGAGAGCCTTACTATTTTCTATGTATTTATTTACTGGGGGTGACACTTTCTTTAAAAATTGCTTATATGAAAACTTCTGTTCAACTTCAGCTAATTGGATATTGAACATAATCCAGTTATTGATTGCTATTTGAAAACGGCCATCAGATATTTCAGTTGGGCTTTTTGGTTTGTTTTCTTTTGTGTTTAAATAAGCACAATTGATGGAAATGTATAAAAGATTTAAAATTAGTTATTGTTTTTATTTTTCATGCTGGCAGCTTGTTCGCTATGTTCTCTATTATTATTTGTTTAATACTCTTAAGCGTTAGGATTGAAATCTATCGTTAATTGTTCTCACTGACATTCGCATTGGAAAAGCATATAAAATAAAATATATGTTTATCAAATACTTTAAGAAAAGTCCCCACAAATTTATTCATTCTCCGATCCATTGGCTTTCAAGCTACTCTTGTGGGCATTACAACAAAATGTTAAAGAATTTCACCATTCATTAAAATATAAGAAGTTCTCATATTATTTTACACTTTGGATCGATTATCAAAAGCTAGACCTATATTATAAATGTTCTTGAGTCATTCGAAAATAAAAAAAAAAACCAAAAATAGAGTAAGTCAGAAATTTGTATAGTTTGGTATACAATATCTGTATAAAATTGATGTTCGAAATTGTCCGTTAATAAAATCACGTAAAAACCAATTGTGTCAATATGCATAGTTTCTCATCTTGTTTTTCGTTATTCGAAATATATTTATTGTTTGTATGTAAATCTATTTCTAGTATGTTTTGTGACTTCGCATGCTTAGCGCTTTGGATAGAATCTTAACAATTTATGGGTTTCTGTGTAGCCTAGTCTAAGTTGAATGACGTCATTTAGTAGCTTATCATATTTCCTTTATTTACTTCTGAATTTTTTTGCATTTTTTACTGTGTTTGCTTATGTTTTTTTCGTTTTGGTTTTGGTGTGTTCATATTGTTTATATTCAAAGAAAATTCTGATTGTTTACATTGCACAAGATTTACAATTAGAAGCAGAATAACTGTAACTTAAAAATTAAAAAGCTAATTCCATTTCGAACGTTTTCTTTGCTTTTGTGTGGAATGAAAAGTCAGTGTGAAATTTCGACCAACACAGTTTTGCTTTTTTTCTATTCTTGGTAATGGGGCCCCTTCAGAAAATACGAAGCAGACCCTTTTAGGAGTCTTTCGGTTGGAGTCTCACCAACCTTCCCTACGCATTTCCTCATTCAACTCCCATTCCGTGTTAATTTTTAAGATTTTTGGTTCTTGTATTCCTTTGTTTTGTTATCGAATTGTGTGCTTGTCTAGTTAGCGGACAGAAACATACTTTAAGATTATAATAATGGGATTAACCGGCCACCGAACAACCGAGTGTGTGTTTTGTATGGATTCGTGTGTGGTACAAATATATGAAAAGTTGGGTCAGATTGACTCACGCTAAACTCCATCACATATATCTGTATAAAGCTCCTTGGTTTATATGTTTTGGTTGTCGTGGTCTGTGATCAAGTATGTTTTGTGCGCTCCACACTAAAGCAAGCACATAATTACCCATGCACCGGCATGTTAAGTGTTCTAGGGTCTTGTGATGTTCATTGTTATTGGTATCTTGGTATATTGGTATCGCATACTGTATTTGTTGGCTTGCCTCTATTCCAATCGATTGTTTGGCTTGTATTCTGTGTTGAATTGCTTTCTGGTGTCCTTAACTTTTAGTATTCAATAATCGAAAACAAAACGTAACTGTAAATGAGGGAAATCAATACCGAAAGTTAGACTGTATAGCTGTTCTCAATGCGCTGAAGGAGCGAACTCTTGCCCTCTGTCGTGGACCTTGCGCAATAGTTCGATCGATCATCGTTTGCATCACCAAAAATCATGCAATTCATCAACACGCAGATATTATTGCTCGCAACCATTTAATTTCATAAATTCATTTCCTCGTGCAGCGCCAGTCAACATGAAATGCAGTGCTTCGGATACATTTCATTTACTGAACGCATTCTGGGCTCTTCTTTACCTGTTGTGCCTCGCCTCTTCCCAATAACTCTTATTTTCTTCGCTCTTTTCATCATCATTTTGATTTTTCAAATTTCTTTGTTATATTCCAGTGAATTTTCGTAATTCCAATTCAGATTGGTTATTCTATTGGTTTTGGTAAGCTTTAAGGGGTTTGGTTTTTAGTTTTTAGTTTTTGGGTTTTGGTTTTGGATTTATCAAGTTTTGGTTAGACATTGAACTTAAGATCAAATCGGGGTCTGGGATCTAGATACACAGTTAAGGATATGTAGGGTTAATTGGTTCTGTTTTGGAAATGCAGTTTCGTCTAGAGAGGGGGATGAGGAGGACTGACTTGATTGGCCTAGGTACTAATTGTTAGCAAAAAGTTGCTCGGAACAAATCCCTGGACTGACTTCAATGCTGAAGAAGATTACAAATTTAGTTGTCCTTCTGTAGATCCAAAAACGTTGGGTTTTCATATCATATACACGTTGCAAATTTCCCACCTACATTTTCTACTATAAAGCTCACAAATTGAAGTCTTCCAAAAAGGTCTGGGGTTTTGCTTTTGCTATGAAATACTGCAATTTCCTTTGAAGTCTGTCAAAAAAAAAGTTTCGAAAATTTGTGTAACTATTTTGTTGAAATCGCCTCGCTTATTCTATAAAATATAAAATCTAAAAAGAAAATATACCCGTTTTGCTCGCTTGTCAAACATATATGTATATATATATTCAATGGAAGAAATATAGATACTGGCTTGTGGGGGCGCGGGGAAGGAAGGGGATTTCTTTGATTTACCATTATTTAGATTTTTTGTTTAGAATTAGGAAAATTGGAATTAGTTAGTTTTTAACGTTTTAGTATATGATGTGGTTTTAAGTCTCTTTTTTAGTGTCTGTTTGATTTTAATGAAAGACATTTTAAACGAGAGTTTTATAAATAAATTATTGTGTTTTCAGAGACGAATTTTTAGTTGTTTTTTTTTTTAGCATTTTTGGATGTATTATTTAGTCAATGGTTTTTTATCATGTGTTTTCCTATTTTTTTGTGTGTTTTTTATGCTTTTTTAGTTTTAATTTACTTAAAAAGTTTCGTTATTAATTTAATAATTAACAAATTGATTTTATAATAAAACCAATAACAATAACCACCTCGCCCATATGGCTACGAGACAATAATATGTGGTGCTGATAGTAGTACAGCTATTGTGGCTAATATTGTGAACATTGTGAATATGATAAGGCACAGTCTGTCAACGACCATAGCTGCAAATTTCCAATCATTGGCAATGTCATTGCACTCGTCATCTTTACGTAGCTGTATATTTGATTTGATGTTTTCATTTGTTTGTTTGTTTGTTATCAATGTTCAAAGAGAAAGAGTGGGTTAAGTTGGAGAGAAAAAGATGAAGCAAACAGTTAAACTTTGTCGATATCTATTGTTTCGAGAGCTATAACTAGGTTGGACATGCATACTTTTTAAAGTAGAACGCAATTGAAATATTTAGTTAGTACAAATCGTCGGTTGATCTTCACATTTCGCCTGATCGTCGCCAACTTACCTGATCAGTTATAAAGCGAATTTCCTTCAAGATTAAACCTAATTCATATTCTGTTGATGATTTGATGCACGTATGATGGGTGACCGCATCCGGCATTCGGGTGCTGCCAATTGGCCCAATGCTGCCATCGTCGCCTTGACTGTTGTCATTTGGACCAGACCGAGAAGTAGAGATAGACAGAAATGTGGGACGTGAGTGGCTGGATTCACTTAACCCAAATGCGGCCCGGGGGCCAATTGCGACTCGTTACCCGTAGACCGTGCGATAGAAAGCCGGATTGTGTGGCAGTGTTCCGCCGGGCGTCATGGGGCGACAATTGTGCCGGAAGTCATCGTCGATGTCTAGAACGTTGGCCAGAAGTGATTTCGACGAGCTTCATTAGGGGACGAATAAAATCAGCTTTAGTACCCTCAGTAGGAATAACAAATAAAATATCAGTAATTGTCATACTGTTCCTGCTTTCGCTTTACACTCAAAGAAAGCGAGAACAAGAACCACAAAGGCAGACAGAAAATAAAATATGTGTAGAAAAATGTATTTCACATAAAAAATCATATTTTCCGTGTTTTACAGTTTGAATGCTGCAATATGATTTATCGTTAAAAAAGATAAACCTCCAACTCATTTTATTCCTTATTTAACATCTTAAAAGTATCAAATATTTTTTAAATCATATTATTTTCAGCGTATTATATATCGAGGTTTAGGAAATTGACAGTATTTGTTTAAAAATATTAAAATAATTTACAAATTAATTAAATTGAATTTTAATTGAAGTGAAGTGAAAAAGTAATAATAGAAATTAAAGATAAGATATTTTTATACAGAAAATTTATGAACTTTGTGCTCTGTTTTTAATTCTTAGCAATTGCAACTCTTTTTTCTGTGTAAATATCTCAATAAAACTATCAGAGTTAACGCCAAGAAAACGTTTTCTGTGAACATTAATCAATTGCTAAATACCGCTCTTTCAGCTCAACATCGGAGAGTATCTGGTGCTTGCGCTCGGAGGATGTGTCCGAACAGGGCGTGGTCGGGAACTCCAGGATCAATGGGCGGCCCGGTCGACTCATCCGCAGGATCCATGGCAGCCAGCACAAAAACACGATGCGTATCTAACGGCAGGTGGTGAAATGTAAACGTTTAGTGGGACGGGCCCCAGGATAATCCGATCAAAATTCAAATTTGATGTATTTATGCTCCAATTGCGTGTGCTAAAAGTTCGTGTTGCGGATGATGACGATGATGATGATGATGACTGCTGTGTCTCTGTGCCTGGGTGTGAAAGTGTTTGCCGGGCCGAAAAATGTGTGGAAAACTCAAGCGAGCTTTCCACGATTAATGGCTGTTTTGCATGAAACGGGCACTCACACTCACACTTACACTCACACCCAAACACAGACAGATGACCACAAGTATGATTTATATTCGATTTTGATTACAACTAAAGCAACACTGTTTTGGAGTCGCTGTCCGGAGAGAGAGCAACATGTGGGTGTTTGTCAGTATGCTGGGTGATTTGTTATTACACTTATAATAATATTTATGTCGCTATATGTGTTTTCTTGTGCGAGAAACGGAGTGTGTTCGCATTTCGCCATGGTCTCTGCTTATTTATAGCTACGGTGCATGCAAAATTTATGATCTACAACACAAACACAGATATAGATAGACACATATACAGAGCACGAGGCACAAACACACAGACACAATACTAGCTATAACAACAGCAACAATAACAAACATATGAGACGATGGTAGTTAGCCAAAAGCTGCTCATTTGTAAACCATTCCCCCCCCCGAGAAGCATTCACACCGATTCCTTGTTTCATCTTTTTAATTGTTGTTCAACAAGTAAGTTCATGGTAGGAAATTTCAATTAATGATTGACAACTCAAATTCCTAAGACTATACCTTTTTTTTTTTTAATATTTATAACATATTTACAACGTCCGAAAACCCGTTGCAAGCTTGTCGTTTCTAACTTTGCTAATAAGGCTAAACTAACTTTTGGGTGTGCAGTAGAAATCACTAGCGTTAAAAAAAAAAAAAAAACCCTATTTAAACCGATTAGGAATTACTACAGCTGTCCTTTTTAATAACTAATAAATAACAAGTTTGAACCATTTTCGGCTAAAGTTCGAGAACAAGTTCTTAATCTCAATCATCAATAATAGTTATCTGGTAAACGGCTAAATTGGTTAAACGTTTGGGTGCTGTATGAGAATTTAAATACCGCAAAGAAGAAAAACGCTCCAATCGATGGGATAGTCAGAACATGTTTCGCCTCCTCGCTGCAGCTTATCCCCAGACATCGGTGTTCAGGCCTCTCCATCCCGTTCCCACTATCGGAAATGCGAAATGCAATGGAGGAGCTGAAAAACAGACGCTCCTAGCTGACAAGCTCGCTTGCAGTTTGTCTGAAACTGTCGTTGTCCTGCCATTCCCAGTTTTCACTTCCCAAACTCATCCTTTTGCATCCTCTATCATGTCGGCTCCTCCTTTCCAGCGGTTTTCGTCCTCTTTTTTTTTGGCCAACAAGCGAGGAGCTTACATGGAAATGCGCTTCAGGACGTGGCATGCAAACTAAATGCAAAGTTAACCATCGAGCAACTGGCATTCGCCATATCCATATCAATGCGACCCACCATCTACTCCAACCATCTTTGTGCAAATTTTGCGCAAATTGATTTGTTGTTATCACACAAAAGCGTGGGGCAAGCGGTTGGCTCCTCGTGGCACAGAGTCTCTGGGGCCAATTCAAGTGGCAGGCGACAGTCGGCAGGAAGAAGGACTCCTTGGGCATGCACATTTCTAATGCACCTGCCCTCCCCAATTGGCTCAATTTTCGTTGCCGTGTCGGGACAACTCACAACTGGGCCAACTGTCAAGCCCCCAAACTTGGCCGGTTACTTTGTGTGCCCCAGCACCACTCGATTCCTGGCTTTGGTTTTGCCCCCATGTGTTCCAAATTCAATTGTGTGTCGAGGGGCCGACCCTCCACATTCTTGCGCGAAAACCATATAAAAGTTCTCATGTGAGTGACTCCTTAAAAGCCAATCGACTTCGACTCCGACTTCTACTACATATAAGCTGCCCGTATTCTTGATTTTTTCTTACTTTTCTGGGTCTTGTCTAGCGTAACTTTTCATTATGCACTTGGAGGCCATTGCAATAATGTGCAGAAATTGCTTTCCACTTGGCTGTCTTGTGGAAATATTGTCATGAAATGTCTGATATTTTCCCATATCGATATCTGAATTGTAAGCTCAAAGGAAAATAAAGAAATTTATGGCTTTTCCATGAGAAAATTGGTAAACGAAAACTAATTGAACTTTTTATCAACAACTACAGGTGACGTTGAATGAAATGTGCTTACAACAATAAAAGGTTATCAAATTTATTATTACTATCCATGTGCATTAAATTGGTTCATTTCGACAATTTTATTCTGCAATATTTTTCTCGTAAGGACCTTAAACCAATTTGTGGCAAAGTAAGAGAATACTTTAAATTTTGCCATTTTAGTGGTATATTACCATAGCCTTACCCCTATAGTTTTTATTCAAAGGTTTTATCAACAATTTCGCACTCAGACACACATTGAACAAAAAGAAAAAAAAATAAAGACTATGTACAGAGTAGATGTATGGATTAAATATGTACTTAGAGGAAAAATAGATATTGGGGAGGAAAATAGAGGATAGAGTACCATTTACAGAACCTCGTACACCAGCAGCGAATATTACATAATGCATAATTGGACAGCACTTTTGATGCTGCCATCTGCTTTGGGTTTTTTTGTCATCTGTTAAACCTATTCACATCGGTACGAGCAGTATAATGATGCAGATACATAAGCGTGTGTGCAACTGGTGGCAAAGTTACGAGCAAAAAGGAACTGGGACTGGGACTGGGACTGGTACTGGGGTTGCTGGTTAGTCGGGTGGTGGTATTCGGATTCTTGCTGGGATCGAGGATGTGGCTGACATACACGTAAGTACAAATTATGGGCCCAACATCAACATTACGATATTTTTCATTACATAAATTATTTTATAGTAGACACGTATAGTAGCTAGACATGTTGGATGGTTACAACATTCATTTCGTACTCTGTACATCCGTCCGTCACTTTTCGGCTCGGCATTCCCTTTGTGGCGCGTTTGCATCGTTATACTTGTATGTATTACGTTCCTCTGGGTTCTTTTGATTTACGTTTTTGGGTCACACACACAGGGTCTAAACCTCAACTCAACTGACATTTTTTTCGGTCTCTGGCTTGGGCTTTGGTATTCAGCTAAATTGCAGATACAGTTATGCTCAGTAACAAAATCAAATGGGGCAACACAAAATTGCAGCTTGCATAACAGCCTCTAAGTAGGCATCAAAAACTAACGAGAACCAATAGAAAAACCGAACATCGAAAAAATACTGTTTTTGTGTATGAAACAGAAATGCACGACAACATCAACAATAATAACAATTCAAGGGTAATCGAACAACATTTATATGTGCAACTAATTGCAAATACGTTTTTAGGTATTTTAAGTAGTTTTAATGTTTATTATGATTTTAGGCAGCTTAAGGCTTAAATTGTGATCTATGGGACGAACACATGAAAATGTTGTATCTTTTTGACTTGAAATGAATGTGGTTTTTACCTAGCTTAGTTTAGCTCTCAGTAAATAAACATTAATTTGGACTTCAACTGTAGAAATTTGTTGGATATTTTTTAAAATTGACTTATAAAGAGTACATCTATGTGAATATATTTTTAAGTTAACTATCATATGTATTTACTTAAAAAGTATGAATTTGTGACTCCACAAGTAGAGTTTTTTATAGAAATATGTTTTTTAGGTGTTCTGCGAATAAAAGTCTGTTTAAACTCGTTAAACAGCCAAAAATTCTAGTTATTATATTTGCAAAAAAAAACTTTTACTATGTACGACAATTGATGCTGATTTAAAAAAAAAGTTCTTTTTATTAAATAGTATTTAGATGGTTTATGTATTTAGGTTTTGTTTTTTACAATAAAGGAATACAACACAAATTACAACAGGTAACTAAACAATGTGAAAATAGCTAACACAAAAACATTTCGCTAGCTAACACAGAAATTATCTTAGCATGACTCTCGCATAAAATTTTGCAATTTTTTCTCCTTTGGCAGAGATAAATCATATAAAAAATGCTAATTCTATGCGACAGTGGCCTCAAATCCAGCAGCAACAGAGGACTCTGGGGCATGGACATTGTGCGGGCTCTGCGTACCACGTTTGCAGGAAAAAGGATATATTGAGGGCAGGACATGGGGGTTCCTCTGAAGCTGCCGTTCTGCGGCCACTGAAAACTAGCTGAAGCTATAAATGATGAGTGATGGTCGCTTTTGCAGTTGTTTCTTATTTTGATATTTTTGTTGTTGGTTGGTTGGTTGGTTGGAGAGAGTTTTGTTTGTAGCTGTGGTTGTTTGGGATGGTTGTTTGGTGGGTTGACCTATTTGCAACTTACCCATTCGGACATTTCGTGCGTATCAGCATTTCGATGATGATAATTTAATATTAAAATCGTTGACACAACGGATGAAGCTACCATAAACATTATGCAATTGAAATATGTACCTGTTGGTTGGTTGGGCGTGTTGTCAATATATATATATATATAAATATTATATATATTTATTATGTTAAGTGTAGGAATATATTGTAATTGTTGTAGTGGTGCATGGATTAGTGGTTAGTTTGTTGTTATTATATTGTTGGATTGGTAGTTGTTGTCGTGGTTATTCGTTTGGGGTAACGCATATTTCAAAGTTCATATTTTATTCATAGTGTATGGTTTTTTTCGTTTAGTTTTATATGCATTTTGTGAGCACATATAATTTTTGCGGAAGGTACATAGTTTGTTTGAAAGAAAGAAAAAGGCAAGAAATATGTACAAAATATTTTAGTTAGTACATTAAATGCAAAAGTTTTCTGTTTGTTAGCTTCTTAATCGTTCAAGGTTTTAAATGGCATAGCAAATGTTATTTTCAAGAAAAATACATATAGATTTATTTTTTAGTTTTTAATTCACACACACACGATGTTAACTTTAGTTTGTATAATTTAGACATAGGTTAGGTAAATATAAAAGTTAGACACCAAAAAGTGTACGCCAAAAACGGAATGATATAAATTCAACGAGATAACTTTAATATTAATTTTGTAAGCTATTTTAGGAGGATAATATTCGAATTTGAAGATTGTATAATTTTGAAAAACAAAATTACGAAAAGGTTAAAAAAATGTATTTCTGTTGACTAAAGTCTTGTTTAGAGCTGGATTTTGCTGATATAGTTGAGCTGTTCCTTTTGTCACTTCCTTAACAGTAAATTTTAATATATTCTAATTAATAAAGATAAATTATTAAAGAATTTGTTTTAAATATGCAATACTTCATATATAAAGAAAAAAAGGATATTTATCGTTTCAATTTGCTTTAAAATCCCAGCTTGACTAGGTACAACCCAACTATATATAAAATATTGATACCTTGACATCCGAAACTAAGAATATTTATAACGTGCAAGAAACTCGTTGTCAAATATGTGTGCAATATTTAAACCAACTCGTGTTTTAATTTGATTGTTATTACTGATTAGATTTTGATCTTCATGGTTCATATAATATATAGGGTGGATTAATTAATTGTTTAATTTTTGTCAAAGCTTTTAGGGGTTATAGTCACATTTATTTGCCCTTCTGGTTTTGAATTATCAGAATTCTTTCGCTACGTTGTTTTGGAAACATTTATTTTTGTCGCATCAGCACGCATTTTTCTTTAAGACTTCAAAGCCAAGTATTATTGTATAAAATTTGACTTTGCTGCCAAAGGAAATTTCTTAAGTAAACGGCTGTGCTTCAAAATCGATGAGGTTTCTTTTTTAATTGTGTGTCAAAGTTTTAATATTATAAAATCATCAGATTTTATTCGGATTTTAAAATCATTTTAGAAATGCATGGATATATAAAATGAGTATGCGACTGCAAACTTTAGATATATTTATAAACGAGTACATAGGTATATGAAAGTATCACGGTATAAATGTTTAGTTAATGGATTGCAATTAGAGAACGGCAAACTCAAAAGCATTAAGTAGACACAGCGATAACATGACTTAGGTTACATTTACGAGAAGCTCTACCATTGACTACTATTGGTAAACAAAATGATCTTACCCAACAGTGGCACCGCATCGGAAGTGGCCGGCATTGTCTCGGCAACCATATTGAGAAACACGGTCAGCGAGAGCAAGATGGTAACACCTAGATATCAGATGGAAAAATTCGATTAAGTTGTTAAGGTTATCACATGGTAAGAGAGGTATAAGTTGTGGTACAAGACTTGGCGGCACAAATGTGTGAATATATTGTGTTCTACCGTTAAAAGTCCTTTAGACTTACCATTCTAAGCCAATTCTAGTTATAAGTTCATATGGTAAATTAAAACATAATATATCCATGTTTCTAAGCTTAAGCAAACATTAATTGTTTTGACTATCACGATGAGCTGATGAGGGTTTTGAAAGTACTGTCTAAAAGTATGCAGTAAACATTTAAACTTTTTATTTGGAACAAATACATCGGAGTTCAGGACTAACAATATATTGTTGCATACTTTTAGACCCCTTTAGAAATGATTTCAAATCCCTAATATCAAATGTAAAACCAAACCAATTTCACTTAACAGATGCTTACATGTTTGAATATTACTTTTTTAAATAATTATTTTAAAAATCATTTGCTTTTGCCAAAACATGCAACTTGACTTCCCTCGCCATCAGTCAAACTTCTTCATAGAGTGCTTTTAAAACTTCTGCAACCTTTCCCTTTTAGTGCTCTGCACTTTCCAACACCGACTTGCTAGCCATTTATTTCTATTTCAGTTTTGTGTACCCAAGCATCGACGGAGGAACAGTCGAGTCCCAACTGATTTTCCAGCCACTAATGCTCAGCCCCGTCGATTGACAGCACACTTTGAGGAGCATTCCGTACGCCCGGCTCGTTGAACACTTTTTACTACTCGGAGCCATGGCAGCATTAAAAGTTCAATAGTTTGTTTACCAGCGCCGAGACTGGGGCGTCATCAGCACGAATAAATAACGATGGCAATAACGAGTAATGTGCGATGTCAGTCAGTCAGTTAGTCAGTCAGCCATTCAGTCAGTTAGAAAGTAAGTCAGCTGGCTGAGGAGCTACAGCTTGCTCTTATCAACACGATTATGAAATTCGCTGCTTTTGCCGCCGACTAGGCTGTCATTATTTAAAAAGTACTTGGCAAATACTTTTCGAGCGGCTTTGAAGCTGTTTGCTTGTATGTATTGTGGGGTATTCTCAAGTATTTGCGATACGTAAGTGGTTTAAAATTAATGTGGCTTACTTTCCCCCACTTGCTTGTTGGCCCTAGAGTTTGATGACTTACCCAGTGATAATTTTTCACCCGAATCCGGCGGCAGGGTGAATCCAAGCAAGGCCATGGAGGCAATCAGTACACAGGGTATGATCAGGTTGAAGAAATAGTACAGCGTACGGCGGCGGATGATGATGGCGAAGGTTATATCTATATAGGGTTCCGGGCAGCAGTTGTAATAGATCTCGTTACGCTTGCCAGGCACACCTGCGATTGTTCAATTGTACACAAAGCGTTATTACACAATATCCTGAATGCGTTTAGTCTGTATATATGTTCTTTTGTCAGATATGTTATGTATCTGTGGCAGTCTTTACTTATTACTCGGGCTGAGCATCTTGTTCTGAGCATATTACAAGAGTTGAGTAAAGTTGGGAGTAGAGTTGGTAATGGTAAATGGTAATTGGTAAATGGTAAAAAGCGTATTCGTAACAGAGCAGAACAGATCAAAGACTAGAGTGGCTGGTAGGTGTACGAGTAATTGAAGCATTATTGCCATTTACAGTTCTGAATGTTTTACAGATATGAGTGGTGAGGTGTGGTGTGGTAGGAAAATGTGTGTGCAGTGTGGGTGTGCATGCCGGGTGTATGATGGGTTGTGGGCTTAGTTGAGTGTAAACTTAGTTTCGGAAAGAGTTTTATTTGTCTAGGCAACTAATTGTAAGTAAAGTTGAGTAAGAGCAGAGCAGAGTGGAGTCAAGCCGAGCATTTTACTATGGGGAAAAGTTGTTATGCACTTTGCTTTCCAAAATGTAAATACGTAGTAGAAAGTATGTAATGATAAGAAATCGTTTGCGGGTTATTCAAGTATGCATATACAATGTACAAAATCAGAGTAAGTAAGTTGTGGGTGAAGTTGTGTGAACAGAGTTTATGGGCTGTAAATTGAAAGTTCCTGATGTGTCTAACGGATGGTGTGATTTATATATTTTTTTTTGTTTTTCTAATAAATATATTTTATTTGATTCCTGACTTCCTTATGTCCTATAAAATATCGTATTATACTATTCATACAAAGGGGAACTGTGACAAATAAAACTTAAGCAAAGACTAACGTAAAAAGTTGTCCAAGCTGATTAAAAAATTCCTTGAACATTCTGTTAATCTGCTTTTTGTTAGAAACTTTCTGCTCGAATTCTAAAGTACATCCATTTAAAAACCATGGAATCCCTTCCTCTGATAGCTTCAGCCTCTTAATTGCTTTTCCCTTTCTACATTTTTCGACATGTTCGCAAACATATTTGCAATAAAAACTTTTGGCAAAAAGCATTTGCCATATGCCCAAAAGAGATGCAGAGAGAGAAGATTGGGAGTGGTAGACAACAGAACTTCAAGCTAAATTATCTGCTCAACTTACTCCAAGATTACCAAAGGGATTACCAGGGACAGAGACTGCGAACAAAATGCCTTGGCAGCGTATTTAAAAATGACCTAGCTACTTTGGCCCTTCCGAAATTCCCAAACTCCTCCTCACAAACAGTTTTTCTCCTATGTCTGGGAGCACTTGGCCAACTCAAAATAATTTGCATAAGCTGGTAGAGAAAAAAACCGCAAATGCGCATGAAAAAGAAAAACCCGGCGAAAAACTTTTGAAAACTCCCGAAAAATTACGCACAGAAAATAAAACAAAAAACAGGAAATAAAAGGGATGGCAAACAAACGGAGTTGGCAAATGAAACTTAAATTTGTTGCGAACATTTTTCTTTTGCACTTTTGTGGCCAGTGTTGAGTTGAAAACTTTCTGTGTCTGTGGAAGCACTAATTCACAGTGCATGTATCTGCGAGGATGCAAAAGTATTTGTCTTTTAATTTCTTAATTGGTTCTGGTGCATGCCTCTAACAGCCAGCTAAAGAGCATAGCTCTTTTCCCTTTAGTTAGCTCGAACTTTTCGCAGACAAAAACGAGGGTGTGGCTGGATTTTTAGCTGTCATGGTTTTTCACGAGGATGCTGTCTTTTGCGCATTGACTGCAAACGTATCTGGGCTTCTCTTTATTTAAATTTTCCGGGCTTTGTGCTTTTGTTATTTTACTCTAGTTTGTTAGCAAGTCAATTTTTTGCTCAAACCGTGCACTTTCAGTTTATTTGGTTAGTTTGAATTAAATTCTAGGTTTGAAAATGTATGTTATGTCAACAAACTTCAAGACTGTGTTCATAACTTAAGAAAATGTATTACAAAAATGCCTTTGACCCTAAGTGGAATGAACTTTTATATTTTTAAGTTATTGAAAAATTTCGAATAGACATTGTTTCTTTATACTATGGAACCATCCTAAAATTTTCTAAAGTAAAAGTTTTAATATTTCTTTCTCAAAGCTCAGAAATGAATTGTGTTGTTTCTGGTATTTCAAAATAAAATTAAGTTGTTTTAACTTAGTATGTTTATGAACAAGTTATGCATTCGAGTTAATCCAGGTTTTCCCTTATCTTATCTAAGCTTTTCGTCAAAATGCAAAATTTCTAAATATCTTTAGCATTGTCTCAGTATTTGAAGACAGTTTTTGTAAGGTATATAAGTATAGCATTTAAGCGTTTTCTATTCAGCATTCAGATTCTTATCGTATACGCTATCCACATGCCTTTAGCTGCGATTAAGAAATAGATTCATAGATTCCGGGAAAAATAATCTAAAGTAAATGCATACAAGGGCCGGGCCTTACCTCTTTATCAGGCTTATATCTTATCTTGGGGCCTGCCATTGGAGCAGCATATTTAGACTGTTTTGAGACCTAAAGTTATGCTCCTCCAAGCAGGCTTCTTACACTGAGAGTAAACGAAATGTTTACGCGGCTATTTCGGACTTAAAAGTTAAAGCGCCCAAAGAATTTTTTTTTTTTGCGATAGTTTTGGTTGTTTTTTTGTTTTGAAAGTAGAGTGAGTGGGAGAACACTGGATAAGCGTGTGATTTGGGTGGAGTACGAAAGTATTTGAGAGTAATTGGGTGGGATAACAACAGGGTTCATCGAGTGCCTTACTTAATTCCGTATTCATTGACCTCGAAATTGAATGAATTGAATGAACTATATAGAGAGAGGTATCAAAAAGCAGTGATGTAAACTTTCTCATCCCTAAATGATTGAACATTGATTTCAATCACATATCGATGAGCAACACAGTCGTAGTTTCGAACGGAACGAGTTCGGAACTTTAGTTCGCAGCTTGAACCCTGCTCAAGAGTGAAAGAGAGTAAGTAAGAGATAGTGGATAAAGTAGAAGTATGCTGGTGTGTGTTTTCGTGTAGGGCACACAAAAGTATGCAACAAAACAGCCGCAGGGCCAAAACTCCGCGAAGGATTAGCATTTTTGCCATAATCTTTTCGCTGGCGGAGAGTGCAAGGGTGCAAACATCCACCTCCACACACACTGAAATTGGGGAGCATTGCTGTGCAATTTCTCAATTTTAATCTTTTCTGTCTGAAGACCGGAAATCGGAATATCGGAAAATCGGAAGAACGGAAAAACGGAAGAACGGAAGAACGGGGAAGACCGCCTGCTCAGAGTCTGAGTTTGGATGTCGAAGTATGTAGAGAGGAGGGCTGTCGCTCCAGGACGACGTTGGCTTACTCACCCAGTAGTTCCCACTCGCCGTTGAGCACGTAACTGCTGATATCACCGCCAGTTTCATCTTGTAATTGTAAATCCAGCTTTTTATACGATATACGATTCGGGGAGAGGGGGTAGAATAATGTAAATATCTCACTCGCATCAGATCAATGCAGAAATGTGAACGAAAGGAAATCATAAATATACACTCGAATCGAATCGGTCAAGCATAACAACTACGAGTTCTTTTTCAGTAAGTTAAGTACTTCCTGGTTGCCTTGCTTTTGTGTGGGAGACTGAACCAAACCTGGAATCCGTCGTAGGTCCAGCTGCCGAACTTCATCTCGCAGCGCTGGTCGTCGAAGGGGAACCACGTGATGTCGATCTTGCACGTCGACTTGAAGATCCCCGGCGGCACGTACAGGCACGATCCGTTGTTCCGCACTACCACGTTCGTCTGGTAGGTGCCGTCGAATCCCTCATCCGCACTGTTGTACATCAGCACGTCCGGCTTCCAAATCCTGTGCGGCGGTATGCGCAGATCCTTCACTCCTCCATAGTCGGAGGTGTTCCAGCGCAGATTCATGTCGTTCCACTCCAGTTTCAACCACACATTCGTGACTAGCAATTGATTTTTCTCGTCCTGTGGGGGTGTAAAAAAATATATATATTAAATTCCATGCCCAACAGGAAGTTAATTACACACGTCGTACGGAATCAAGTATTAATAATTAACGCGTAAAAACTGTATTCATAGAGTGCAAAGTTTGACTGAGAACTCGCACTGGCTGTTTTTTATAAAGTATTTCCTGCCGCAACGGATGCGAGATGCGGTGGGATTTGGTCGGCAGCTCAGTCACGTGCGGCAAATATGGCAATTGAAAAATGTGAATAAATCTGCAGCGAGTTGTATAAACAGTCAGGGTATGCCTTTTTCTTAATATATTTAACAATAATCCAAGGCTTGATCATTGATTTAAGTCATGCCATAAACCTATTTTTTTGTTATATTTATTATAAACATTTATTGAATTAAAATGAATTTATTAAAGTGTGTGTCTGTTCGTTACACAGCCTTTTATATGTTTTAATTTGTTAAAAGCCAATCAAAAATCAATTTAAAATCTTTAAGGCTTAACTCGGACTGAAATGTATTGTAATTCCTTTCCAATTATTATCTAAAAAATTTACGACATATTTAATGCAGTAAAGCTATTACTTTAATCCCCGGGATAATAAAAGATCATTAAATATTCATTTTAGCTATGGAAGGAAATAGTGAATTGCAAAGTATGTGAAAAACAAGAAAATCTGGCTGCAATAATATGAACAGCTTTTTTCTTTAAAATGCTTTAATCAAGATAGTTGAATTTTTTAAATGCAGCCTAGCCTAGTGGCCCAAGGGATGTGGCCCAATAACCGAATCCGCGCGCTTTACACTGAAACCAGACACCGAATCCGCCGCTGCGGCAGCTGCTCCTAAAAAATTCAACTGCTGCGCACAGGGCGTATGTGTAATTTACAATTAAATGCCTGAAATATTCATGGTTCACTCGGTGAGCAGCAGCGGCCAGCGGAAGCAATACAAAAAAAGAAAAAAACCAAAGAACAGTGGAAAATGGAAAACAACTGCTGAAAACCAAATCTCTGGCGCTTAACTAACAAAACGAGTTCCAAGCACCAAAGGGATCGGATTGGGGGGCAAAGGATTCGGATTCGGGATGAGCACGGGCTTCGAGTTGCTCGAATATTTTGTCTGAACAATTTCCGTTAGTCAGTGTGCAAGTGCAATCACAAAATGGGCTCAAATATGCGACAGGAATGCGGTAGAGTTGAAATCGAGCTGCCGCCCGCCCCAGCGGAGAGCCAAAAACCCGCAGGCCCTTGCCAATATGTTTCCCCCCACAAAATCGGGCTGGCTGAGGGGCGGTTGATGGCCAACAAAATCGAAGCTTGCGGCAAATATAACGTTGCAAAGGGGCGGGACGTGGCAGGACTCGATAATATTGCGGCCATAACGCAGTGCAAGAGCAAACATGAAATGTGTCCCAGTGTGTGTGTGTGTGTGTGTGTGTGCGAGCCTGGCTAAATATAGCCATTACATTATTGCACTTGACTGCAGCGTAGTCCATTTCGGCCAGCCAGCCAGCCAGTTATCTACCCTCCCAACGGCAAACACACTGTCAGCCCTCCTGCATACTTATATTTTGCAGTGCACTTTGCGACTGCGACTGCGACCGCAGCAGACAAACAAATGCCTGACGCTAAAAAGTATGCCATGGTTTTTGCGAGGACGAAAGAGGATGGTTGGAGGGAGAAAGAGGCGGGGGGTACTGGCAGGAAACAGGGTCGACAGCGACCTAATAAAATTCCGCTTTCCAAATTGAGTTTCTGTTGACGCTCTATAATTTTGTCGGCTTACACATTGAGTGCGTTTTTGGTTAGTCGCCACTCGACTAATCCGTTTAGCCGGCTACCGAAATGTAATGAAATATTGCCACAAGTCTTTTCAATTTCCTAGTTCACGGTATGGGACGTTTTCTTATTTAAATTTATTAATTTACCCAACCTCAGACACTTTTGACAGGACGTTGCCTTTCTGCCTTTATGTATTCTAACTGCAGTTGTCGGGGCAACTCCTTTTTGCCACCCATCCAATTTAAATTTTGAATGCGCATGTTCATTTGGAGTAAAAGCGGTGCACACAATTATAAAACTAACAACCGCAAAACGTGAGGGCTCGAAAAAATGTAATAAAAAACTCAGCCAAAACGAACAAACTTTAAAAACTTTATTTTTTAAATTGAGTTAAAGAAATTTGGTATTAAAAACGAGTGCGTTGTGTATGTCCGAACTTATTAAACAGACGACTATTATCAATAATGAAACATGATTCTGTTTTATAGTTTTCTTAAAACTCATCACAAATAAGGAACTAACAAGCTTTAAAAACTTTGCTATAAAATATCCTACAATATGAGTTGCACTGTGCGTCTTTAGATGTCTAAATCTAAACTTTTTGGTGCATCTCTAAAAGAGAAAATTGGAGTGTTTGCTGTTTTTGTGTATTTCTTAGTGCAGCAGCCGTACAAGAAAAGCCCATATATAAATGAAGCTTATTCGCATTCAAATAGTGTGCGTATATGAATGCATATGAGCCTATGTCTGACTACTAAAAGAGGCAAAGAAAAACATATAAATAAATGGCGGCTACGAACGGCAGTTGTTGAATTTTAAATGAGCAAAAAAAGCAAACGGCAAAATTATTACAGCCCAAGAGTTTTTGTTTCCCCCCAGCCGATTTTTTTCCTGCCCAGCCTTCGACCGGGCCAAAGACAAGTTTCGGTATGCGGAAATTTGCATATGTGCGGCGCAAATACATATTCTCACAAAGTCCACACCCCACCACAAACACATATACGGATACACACACGCAGAGCCGGTTCATTGACATGGCAGGCCAACAACGTTCAAGGGATTTAAAAAAACGGAAAGCCAACTCGAAGCCGACTGAAACTGTAGCATAAAACGCGGTGTTCGTTCCCCACGCACACACGTACACAGACACAGACACAGGCGGGGCCTAGTTTCTCATTGTCCTGTATGCATAAAAAATGGCTGGCCCATCTCGACTTCATTACTCATTTTCCGCTGATATCCGTTGATATTCACCCAGTACCATTCCGTCGTCCTGGAGCCTACTTAATCACTTCCTCCGTCCCAAACCCAAACCCGCTGCCATATCCTTGGCCTGCGTCTTGGCCCCTATCTGAGCCCTCTTTACCGCCACTGTCTTTCTCCCATTGATGCCAATTAATCTGCGCCTCGCTTTGTCTGCTCCTTTTTAATTAATGCGCCTGGGAGTTTCTTTATTTGTACTTTCACCGCCTTTCTCCTTGCCTTCCCTGTAATTTCACCTCCTTTGCCTGACAGTCAACTTCTTTCTGTGTCCTGTTTGCCCTGGCCTGTTTTTCACTTTCTTGTTTCATTTGTTTCTTTTTTCAGCCTAGCATAGTTCTCAATAATCCCCTTTACATTTGTCATGCTGTCTGTTTGCTCTGAACGTGGAAAAGGATGTTTATTGGCTTGTTCACAGCCTTGTTCTCAATTTGACTTACTTAAAAAATGCAATCCCCTCTTAAACTATTGACATTAATGGATTTTAGGTATTAAAACATAACTAATTACTCAATTAATTAAAATCGATTTACTTAAGATTGAGGACTAATTGAACTCCACTACCCCGAAAATCCACATCTTTTCCATTGAATTGCTTCATTTCTTCCACTCACTGTTTCATTTTTAAATTGTTAAGTGGTTTCGTTTATTGTTTTCATTATTTTTTTAACACGAGTATCCAACACTCAATATACTGGGGCCTGGAGATTGCTTTCACTCGGTGCATTTAATTAAAAAACACTTCAATATTCATTTCTTCCGCTGGGGAAATAATTTGAACTGATTTCAGCAACGCTTTTAATTTATTTTTCGCATTACGGGTGATCCTTGGCCATTCGCAAAATGCAATTAAATATATATTCGCGTTTTTCTCGTAAGCAAACGTTTCTGAATGTTTAACGAATAAAAGGCAACATCCTAAAAGTCCCTATCAAAACTAAGTATTTACATTGCGTTCAGAAATGTGCCTTACTGACCAATTTCCCACAAACCCAAAAAAAACTTGAGAACACATACATTAGTTTAATAAAATACGTATATTTATAGCGATTTAGAGGGGGAATGCAACCCAAGTACAGTTGTGTTAGCAGTGGGTCAAAGCGCTGTCCCAATTCTGGTCAAACACTTTGCCAGCCACAAGCCATTGAGCAATCTTCTGGACAGGATTGCCATCCTGCCATCGCTTACATGTGTTTATGTGTGCCTGCCACGTTGTGCTCATTTGACAAAGTCGTTTCTGCACAGCAAAAACGGGAACCTTATGGAGGAAGAGGACACACGGGCACACAGCCATTTGCTCTGCAAAAGAACTTCAATCACAGTGAAAGTGAGTGAAGCTTTCACCCAAACCCCAGTCGAAAATGCATTGAAAGCATTTGCGAAAGTATGCCAAGCATGTCCATAACCATCTATGCACATGGGAAACCTGTTTATGTTGATGGAAACCTTGCGGACCCACCGAACATTCGATGGCCAACGTGTACTGGGCCGAGAATAGAAATCCGCTGGCAAGTGTAATACGAAGGCATTCTAATTTCGTTGCCAGGCGTGACGCATAACAAAGGGAAAGCTCTTCCGGACACTAACACAAACTGAGGACTGAAGAAAATGCAATTTCCAGCGGCCAAATTGCCAACAGGAAGTGAGAGGGGAGGCATTGTCCCGACCTCCGGGAAAAGCAATTATGACCTGTGCTTTACATAAATCAAATGGGGATGCAAGCCATATTACACACAAGGACTGCCATTGTTTGAATAGCCGTGTGATTAGAGTCCTCGCAAGCTCACTTTCTGGAGAGCTGCCGAAGGAGCTGTTGACATTGCCCGATAAGTGAAATTGATGAAAGAGGCAAAGGGCCCTCGGTGTAGTTTTTCCTTTGTTCAGAAGGACTCTGCCTGTAGCTCTCTGGCTTCAATTGCATTGCCGCTGCTGTTCGAGAATCCCTGCCAGGTGCTTAATCTTTAAATTGCTTGGAGACCCAGTTGGCGGTGGAAAAAATATGCAAATGCGGCGGGAGCCACTGCATTTAACAGTTAAAATATTGCCACAGTCGAGCGATGGCGTATCCTCGACGGACAACTAATGGCACTGCCGACCTGCAACTGGCAGAAAAATCGTTTGCTTTTCACACAAAAAACCCAAGCTTAAGGCGAACATTCTTTGAATTTCCACTGCAGTTTGCTGATTCAATTGATTGAACAAATGGCATTACCAATTATGTTTGTGCTTAAATCGAAACATACTAGCAGTTTTTATTTTAAATGCAGTTTCAAGGAATATGGAAAAATCTTTCTAAGGTCCAAACAACAATTTAATCAATAAATATGCATTTTTATAATTTTAAAGGATAAATAATAAACGGAAAAGCGTTAATAAAACAAATCAAAACTGTTCAAAGTAAATAAATTATTGCTAGACAAATAAAACGAATAAAGATATATTTGTTAAACTAATATAAATTTTTATTTTTCAACTCAAAATCATTAATAAAACGATCAAAAAACTTTTCAAAGTAAACAAATTATTGCTAGAAAAAAAAAAAAAAACAAAGATATATTCATTACACTAATATGCATTTAGTTTTATGGGATAAGTAATAAAATATTTTCTGAAAGTTTCTTAGGCACACCAATAACTTTTCAAATTAAAAATCATTGGCAGAAAAGAAAACGACCTCTTTACGATTATTTTTGTAAGCTGGTGCAATAAACGAAGATGCCAACTGCGATGCGGAGTGGCAGGAGAGTAATATCCTTTATTATCGCACCATATGCAACTGATTTCCTTACGATTACGATTCCCCGCGATGCATTAACAACTTTTGATTGCCGTGACATCTAAGCGGGCCACTAACAGTGCGCAATGAAAGTCTGAGTACACCGTGGGGCTCGTAAACTCTAGTTTGGCATCCAAAGGTGGTAACGGCCGTCATTCCCTTTCATCTTACCCGAACGACCCGATTTTGGATTTTATGCCCAGTAATTGCTGCCACTGTTGCTTTTCAGCTGGTTTTCAGTAGCTTTTCCTGCTTTTCAGCTACCGCTGCGTTTCGAGTGTGCGTGCTGCAGTTTTTACTGCCACCCAAAACGGCAACAAACAACGACCGCCAGCGCATTGTGCCCATTTGTTCTGTTCTTTCGACTTCATTTCGCACCAGCAGCAACTCGCACTTCATTGCTTTGCCTGGCGCAGCACAGCCAGGAACCCACAAAACACCCCTCGTCAGCCCTCGGGTTTATATGTTTTGGCACAAGGTGTGAAAAGCACATGTGCAAATTTTATTTATTCATTTTATTTGCATGCCAAGTGTGTACGGGTGTACTTTATTGTAAATGCACGGCACAAAATTGGAAGCATTATTGGCAGATCAAATACTTCTTACTTTGGGTAACAATAGTTTGGTTTTAAATTTGGCATCCTTATAGTAATAAATTGACAAGAGCTTGCAGTGACAAAAAGCTATTATTTGTCTACAAAAAGACAAAACATGGTTTGCTTTCTTCCTTTAACTCCTTAATTAAAATTGTTGTAGCAGCCAACATTTCTTTCAGTGTACTTTGCATTGCTTTTCGCCGTTTGGCTTTGGCTTTGTGTGAGTGTATTTGTTTATGTATGTGCGACTTTTAGCGCGTCACTGAATGCGCAGTTTTCTAGCGTCTGGAATCGTTTTCGCTTTTATTTTTTTCCCCAGCCTTAGCCATATATAGTAGTATGCCAGCAGCAAATTTTTTGCGTTGCTGTTTTTGCTTTTCATGCCTCATGTGTGAGTGCCTTTTGTTTGTGCGCTCCATTTTGCTGAATCCGAACTTTGTGCGGGACACCAGGCTTTGGCTCTGACTGTGACTCAGGATCTGGTCCTGGTTAGGTCCTGGCTCCTGGCTCCTGGCTTCTGGCTCTTCGCTCCTGACTGCTGGCGGTGGATAAGGTTGGGAATGGCCAAACAAACAAGCCACACACACGGACAAATGCCATGCAAATCTAATATGAATTGAGGTTGTCTCACTAACAAAGGCAAACGCCTCGCGTCGCCCTTTCCGACAGTTTCCACCTTACTCGCCAGCTCTCAAGTCCCTTTCCCTAGGATTTTCCACCTACCGACTTTTCAACCCCTACGCAATTGTAAGTTAGGGAAAAGTTTTCGCAACTGATGAATGCAGAAAGAACCAGCGAAAGGTGAAAATGAGTCAAACGCCGCACATGCCACATGACGTTGCATGTAATTTGCTCGACACTGCCAGTCAGCCAGGATATGTGTGTGTCCTGTCTGTAAATAGGCCAGAGGGAAGGGGAACAGGCAGCTGCCATTCAAGGAACAGCCACCAGGCAGCAGGACATTCACATACACACATGTGTGTGTGTGTGCGCTGCTCTCCGGCAAATAATTAAAATTTCACTTTCTTGGCAATTCACTTTTTACCCAGCACTAAATTGTGTCATCAGGAATTCTTTTTTTTTTGCTGTTGCCTACTTTAAGGCTCCTTTTCAGAAAGGGGAAACAAATTGTGAAACTGAAAGTTCTTTGCTCACACAGGCCTGGCGGTAATTAAAATGGGAAATTAAAGGACTGCTTTTAATTTCGTGATCTTAATCACAGATTCGTTGACTTCCAATTAAATATTTGTTCTATGTTTGGCAATAAGAACGGTAAGTTCAAAAATTTTATAAATTCATACTGGCTTTAAAAGAATATATTATTTGATTTTAAAAGTTTATAATTTATAGCTTTTACATTTTTTAAGGCCACTAGCGATCGAAAGCCTCCAAAAGTATGCAGTAAGAAATACTATTTATACTTTTCAACACATTTTTTTAAACTTTCAAAACCCTAGTGATTTCTATTAAGCTTCCATATATCTTAAATTCATCTGTGTTTTGTTTAATTTTAAATAAGATACTTAAAATGTAAATTACTTACCACATCGATAATTTATATATATATTTATATCTAAAATTCATCTGTGTTTTGTTTAATTTTAAATGAGATACTTAAAATGTAAATTACTTACCACATCGATAATTTGCATTAAAGTTAACCCAAAGCTTAATTGTAACGGGTCCGATTCATTAAGAACGGGACGCTCTAGTGTATTATAAGGATCCAAAAGATCATGTAACAGTCTCTTTTCATGATATCCTGCTAGGCAAACTGCAAGTAGATAAAATTCGAATTAGTGCATACAACTTACTTGGGAAACTCGATTACGAGTGTGGGTTAAGGAAAAAGAACTGCAGCAACTGTTTGCCTTTTCGCAGGAGCGCCGCAAATCAACATCAATAACTCGGCAAATGGTAACGGGGGGCGGAAGACAACAACTAAAATTTATTGATATGCAAAAGTTTGCAAGTTTTTGGTTTCTGCAACTTGGTTTTGCTTGCTTCTTGGACTTGTGCTTCTGCTTTGGGGCTGTGCTGTGTTCATGTGGATGTGAATACGGGTTTTGCAGTCGGCGTCGGATTGGAAAGGCAACAGAGAAAGGAGTTCGAAGGGTTGGAGGGAGGAGGAAGGCGGTGGGAGAAAAGTTTTTGTTCCTCGTTTTGCCAACACACATATGTCTTTCTCAGCCGAGAACTGTGTGTTTTGTGTGTGTATGTGTGTGAAGAGCGACCATTGTTCTCTGGCAGGCGAATAACAAAAGGAAACTTTTATTGAGCAAAACTTTTTCACATACAAATTTTCTTGTTACGTTTTTTCCCCAGCGATAATAGATTGCCTCACCCACACACACACTAATGGGGGGACGGACATATTCGCATCGTTATCGTGGAATTATTTATGCATGAATGTGGGCAGCAGAAGAAACTACAAAAGAAACTAGATGAAGTCGAAGGAGAATTCCAAGTTGCTCGCCTGCTCTTTGCCTCTCAATTTGATAATTTCTTAAGAGTTTTTCCCACTTTTTTCGCAGCGGCCTCCCCCTTTTTTCTAGGGAAGCACTATAATCAGACAGTAAGTACCAATAAGTCACGGATTTATCGAGTTGAGCTGTTGAGAGTGCAGTTCATGTGGCAAAGGGAGAAATAATCAGCGAAATTGCCATGGATGAGGTTCTTGAAAATTGAATTAATCCCAGATTGATGTGCAATGCAGCATTTGCCCTGCTTTTGAAGAGGTCGACGGTAATTAAATTTGTATGTGCATCTGTTTTTTGTGCAGCAGCGAAAAAGTCGCAATCTGTTGAACGTTGAAAAGTTTTCACTTTTAGCAAAGCTTAGCCCGCTTAACCCAGAAGATTTGCATACAAAATGAACAGCGTTTAGAAATTATGCACATGAATTTTTTAGTTTTAATTTGTCTTTAGCCCGGTTCCATCTGGCTTTCTCTAGCCCTGGCACTTTCTCTGCCGTTTTTGCATATTTCATTCGCTTTTCACGCGCTCTTCCTTGTTCATTTAATATTAAAACAAAATGACGAGCCTGCGGGCCAAGAAAAAAACCGAGAGAGGCCAGATGAAGGAAAAACTGCAGCTAACGAGCACGGGTCCGGACCAACAATGAGTGCGGGGTTGGGGGTGGGTCGGTGGACAGGGCACCTAGTTAGGCCCTTAAGGCAAAGCATTGACACCAGCCAAGTCGTCGAGGAGTGGGCCTAGAACAAAGCAACAGGAGCGCGGCAGAGGCTCAGAAGAGACACAAACAGCAGGACAACAAAAAAAGAGGCCAACGTCTGATGAAGTGTCAAAATGAATGTGATAATAAAACAAATATGAGGGCTGCCAGCGATCCTGAGTATCGGCCAGCTATTGTGACCGGACACAAAAGGCGACTTTGCCGACTTTACCGACTTTTGACTCCGACATCACGAGTACAGACTTTTGTTTTTATTTGCTTTTGTTGCCTAACCATCACAAACAGAGAATAAATAACCAAAAAGTAGGATATATATAATGTAAAACAACGAGTTTTTCCTGCAGCTTCAAAGAGTAAGCAGGAAGCTTAATTGGATATTACTGTTCATTTTCTTTCGTGAAAGTGTCGGATAATTTTTCTGAAATATTGTAGTGAGCTCTTCTGTAAGACATAACTTTTAAAAGATGTCTTGTCATTTTTGTAGGAAATAGTTATTGGAGAAGAAAACGTACAACTACATAAACAAACCAAACAACAAACAAATTAAGAAGAAATTAAATGGAACAATAATTTAAACTCAATAAAAAACTTTTCACGAATCAAATTATGACACAATATGTTTTGTTGTCTTCAAACTAAAGTGAAGCCAAGTTCTGTTATTAGTAACCCGAACAAAACGTATAAGGAGTCATTAACTTTCCATTTTAGAGTCGTTAACTTTTCGCGGAGTCAAGTCATCTTTAAATTTGGCTTTCTTGTCTCTTTCTCTATTTTTCCAACAGGCTGCGGCCATTTCGAAATGCCTTTTCAATGGCTGCACTTCCGTTTCGTTATTTTCCTTTATTTTGTTGATGCTTCGTTTGTTGTTTTTGTTATTGTCCGTCGGCAGGCCGCATAAAATTGCAATTTTATTGCAGTGAAGCATGAAAAAGTAATTGCTATTTCACAAAGCCAAACCAAGTCGTTGGCCAGACAGGGAGGGGTGGAGACAGAGAGGGAGATAGCGCGAGCAAGTGCGGCAACAGCTGCAAGGACTTTGGGTAGCAGCGACAACGGGAGTGAGGCACACTCGAGTTGGCCAATTTAATGTGCCAAATAAAAAGCAACAAAATTGTTTAGAAAATGCAGCTGCCTACGAAACACACGCCGCAACACACAGCCATAATAACGACAGCAAATGGCCAATGCTTCCAAAAAACAAAATAAGAGCGAAAAATAAGAAGTTCGCCTAAAATACTTTGCTATTCGTATAGGCAATAATGAAATACTCTTTAGTAATAACTATCAAGCCCAGGATAGATTTAAACCGTATTTCTGAAATATTTAACCATTACTATATGTCGAAGAACTAAAAAAAAAATTAAAAAACAGCAAAGTTATAATTTTTGTTCAATTATTTTTTCGATTGTTCCTATGGGAGCTATATGCTATAGTCGTCCGATCCGGCTCGTTCCGACTTATATACTACCTGCAATAGAAAGACAACTTTTGGGAAAGTTTCATGCAGATAGCTTTAAAACTGAGAGACTAGTTTGCGTAGAAACGGACGGACAGACGGACGGACAGACGGACATGGCTAGATCGACTCTCCTAGTGATGCTGATCAAGAATATATACACTTTATAGGGTCGGAGATGTCTCCTTCACTGCGTTGCAAACTTCTGACTGAAATTATAATACCCTCTGCAAGGGTATAATGAAGATCTAATTTTTTAATTGTAAATTGTTATATTTCTAAGAAAGCGGTTGTATAAAATATATTCTGTGTCATTATTAAAGGACCTCAAGTAAGAGCAGAAAGATGGCAGAAATGTTTCGACTCGCGCTGTCCGCCGATATTAAAAATTGAAAGCAAAATGAAAACTGACGGGGCGCCAAACCACTTAAGCTCCCAAAACCGATACAAGATGGGGTGAGAGCGGACCCGCAGAAATCGGGGAAGCGACGAAAGTGATGAAGCTTGATGGCTGTCTGCTCAGAAGGGTGAACACTGTACAGGCAGTCCCCCTGACATCGCACCTGCTAATGGCTGAGGGGAGGGAAGGGAAAGGGGGCAGGGCTTTACAGAGGTGCCAGGCTTTGGGAAACGAGAGAGCTCAGAAGCGAGCATTTTAATAGCGCCAAGGTGACGCTTAACCATTCAAAGCTTAATTTATGCAATAAAAATTCCAGCACTAACCGCCCCTTTGGAATCCCTAGCAAACCACCCCACACACACAAACACACACAAACACACACACACAGAGTTGCCCTTAATTGGATGGGGCTTGGGAGCTGGGAAAGCATTTAATTGCTTATGACTTTCTTGTTTTCCTTTTTCCTGTTTCTTTTTATAAGGGGCACGGATGAGGCAGATAGAGTAACCTGAGACAAGAGTAGCCCTAAAAATGGAAACAAATCGATAGACAGCTTTGGAGAGGACAAAAATGGGGAAAGAGACAGAACAGCGCTACTTGGAAAAGTAGAAAGCACGAAAAATATTGTGTTAATGTACAAATTGTAAACTTTCTAAATTTTCTTCATTTACTTGAATCTCTTATTTCATTTTCTAATGGTTTTAAAGTTATTTTGCATACAAATATGGCAAAAATAAAGTATCCAAGCTTTAGGTACTTCTGTCAATGTCATATTTTGCCACTTTTTGCCAGTAAAAAGAGTAACTGGCATTCCCGGGCATTTCTTGGCAGGCCCATCAATCAAATTGCCTTGTGTCCACTATTGAAAATTATGAATGCTATCACATTTAATGATTGATTTTATTCCAGCCAACATTTCTGAGTCTCGCCCTCCTCACTTCTGCTTCACATTTGATCCATCGAAGTACTGGATTGAGATGGGCAGGAGATTATTTGTGTTTGGCTGATGGGCCCGGGCCCGTCATCTGTCTCAGCCTCATGTGGACGATGCCTCGATGGGCTCCATAATGCAAATGGCAGGCATGACATTTGTTTTTCTTTCTTGTAACAACCCTTTAGCTAATGATGGAAGGGAACTTGTTACATTTATCGTATAGATTGATAGAACCGCTGGGGAGTTGACATTTTGGGGAAAATTCCTGAATATTGCATGCCGTTGTGGGTGTACATAATTTGTTAACACACACAAATTTCACCACAGATAGAATATAACAAAGTATAATAATGTCAAAAGTGACATAATAGTTAAAACAGTTTATTGGAAGTAAATTTAATTTTAATTGAATTCTTAAATGTAAGCATAGGAAAAAATGCCCTTGCCGAAATATATAAATTAATTCTATCATCTCATGTAAGCGCCAAAAGCGAGAAATGAAACAACGGGGGGCTGTCAGATGCGAAGAGTCTTGAAATCTTGAAGCATGCCAAAAGCCTTTCCGTAGCAATAAATGTCATACTTACAGGACATGACCAGGGAAAATGGGGAAGGGCACTTGGCTGGCCAACGGGGCGTATGAACGATGTCATAGGGCAAGCGCATACTCGACACACTCATGAATACAGTAACAACCGCACACACACTTACAGCTGGTGTAAGCAACGTTGACGTTGTGCAAAGTTTAAATCTGATTAGCGATGGCAGCCAGGAGAAAGGCCGCAGAAAGGCGAAAGAAGAAAGGGAAAAGGGGAAAGGGGAATGGAGGGGCTGTACAATATGGCTCGGACGGAAACGGAAGTGCTGCCATAAAATCATAAACATGCACACGCATATGGACAAACGGCAATTGTTGTTGAAACTGCTGCTGCTGTTGCTGCTGCCTTTGGTGCATGAAACATGAACTCAAAGCCGAAGCGACAGGACAGACACAAAAAACGAAGACGGAGTAAACGACTTCGACTGCAGACATACAAGTTGCCCCATCGCACACACATGGCTAAAATTTATGAAAACAGCAATTGGACTGTGGAAAATACTGATCAAAAGGTAAAAAAATCTTAATACATATTTCAATTGATTGGCACTCACAGATGAACATTTTTAGTTATGGTCAAACTTTGCAAAATATCATGTTGTAATCCCTTATAAAAAATTCAAGAAGTGCCGGAAAAAATCATTTTTTCTAAAATCAGCCAGTGATTTACAGTTTAGGTTTTTTGTGCAGCGCAGCTTATTTTTGCTAAGTAAAAAAAAAATACAGTATAAAAAAGTTGTATTGCCAAAAGTCTGAATATCAAATCTATTTTTGCTTTAATTATTTGCCTAAAATCCTGGGAAAATTGTTAAAAACTTTTCATGGCATGATACAATAACATTGTTATAAAATTTTCAATATATACACCACTGAAATTTTGAAGCCATTGCCAATTTTCGCAAAAAATGTATGATGTCATAAATAAACATTTTTCAAAATTAATTGGGGCTTGAAATCTAATTCTTACTTCACTGTAAGTTACAAAAAAAAACCCTTAGGATATGTGATTTTTATTGTCATTAGTCAGAAAATCAAATCAAATTTCAGTTGTTGCGAAATTAATCTATTTGCTTTCAAAACATATTATTGAGATATTAAGACTACGGTTCGTAAGCAACGACTTGATATTAAATACTCATACTTCAGTATCCCTAATTTAAGATGTTTTTAATTTTGAAAATTACTAAAATTAATGAAGCCAAACTAAGTTGGCGTTTAACCACTTGCACCACCGTACAACTTGTGTACTTATTTACGCTTCCATGGCTTGGCATGCTAACCGCGACACGCGAATGCGACTTTGCCCTGCCAGCCTGAAACATTGGCAACACTTTGCGTCCTGTGTTCCTGCCTTTTTGCTCCCCCAGCTCATATAGGCAGCCATTAATAACCCCAATATGTGTAAGTGGCAGTCAAGCCATCTCCTCGCCACCATCTTCAGGTGGTATTTTTTTTGTGTGCTACTAATGGAATGGCAGGCATTTTAGCTGCTAACCAAACTTGGTCCTTGTCTCGTTGGAAATATTGTTGCCGTGACAAAGAATTTTTAAGCTTTTAGTGCAGCGCAGTGGGGCAAAAAAAAAAATATATATATATACCATCAAAAAAGATTTTCCAAACCTCCTTTGCCACAACCACTTCAGATGGGAAATTTCTGTGCAGCAAATGCTTGTTGAAAGTATTTATGGCATTGCAACTTTTCGGCACAGCAGCAGCCACACATTGTTCGACATGACTTTGCTTAGTTTTTGGCAAACAGTTTTTATGCCAAAAATGTGGGTCAACAAAGACAGGGAATTTAGTTTAATTAACCAGTAAACTTCATTCCCTAAGGGGGGATCGTAAAGTAATATCGTTTTAGTTTGAGGAACAGCCAATTAAAGCTACAAAGGAGAAGCTTCTCAATTATGTTCATTAAATGGTTTATCCTTCAATAGGGCTCGTTCAGGTGCATCTGGCCCAACAACGTTTATGCAGCATGGCCTTTGAAGGGCCTCAACTGCGGCCTACCACGCGTTAGCCACGAACAAGGACTAAGGACTTCTCAAGTGGGGGCGACGGAGGAAAAGAAAAAGAAAATAACCTTAGGCGCAGACGCTTTCAAGTGGCTTAGACCGGTCTGAGATGGCTGTTGTTGCCTCACTTGAGGCTGTCGTAAATGTCACAGCTGGCAAACAACAATAACAACAACTGGGGGACAGCAGGACGGCATCGACAACGACAACGACAACGCAAGCCCACAAAATATCCCCCACGTGAGTGGTTTTATGTGTCAAAGAGACAATATGTTGCTGGCGTGCATTATGTTGTTGCTGCTGCTGCTACTGCCACTGCCGAACAATGCGATGTGCGGCAACTGTTGCTTGCAATAGCTGTTGCTGATGCTGCACTCGAACACTTGAGATAAACTGAATATGGCACTCACCTTTAGCAGATAAATTCAAATATATCAATAAAAATATCCATGAGTGCTTATTAAGTCCGTTGATTATTTGCGTGCTGCTGCTGCTGCTGTGGTTGCTGGAACTGCTGCTGTGATTGCATCTGCTCCTCAGCTGCGCCGCAAAGCTGCCTAAATAGGAAATGAAGGCGGTGGTGCTGATCGCGATCCCTCTGACCAGAAGTTCCGCTCGCTGTTGCACTTGAAGTTGCCACTGTTGCAGCGACACCAGCAACACCTGCAACACCTTCAACATCCACACGAAGGTTGCCGGGTAGAGGTGATGACTCGATATCGGATTGCTGGTGTCGTTATCGCTGGTGCGACATTGCATGTAGGTGGCTATCGGATGCAGATTGCTGTTGCTTATGCTGTTGCTATTGCTAGTTGTTGCTGCTGCTAATGTTGCTGCTGATGCTGCTGCTGCTGTTGCTGCTTCTGCTTCGTTTGGGGTTGCTGGTTTTCTTTTTCGTCGGCGACGCAATCTTTGTCGCTTGCGTGCACACAGTCTTATGTTTGTTGGTTGTTGGGTTGTTGCTTGATCGCCGCCAGCAATTGCAATTGCTGCAGCTGTCTTTGGCGACAACATGTTGCTGCTGTCTAGCTGTTGCTGCTGGTCATTGCTGCTCACGTGGGTGGCTACATATTCCGCTTTTGGTGCTTGCTTCTGCTCTTGGCTATTGTGCTGCTTGTTTGCAATGTTGCTGTGGTGTTTTGTACTTAAGCTCCTTGGTTGCAGTTGGGTGAGTTGCTGGCTAAGCCTCTTGTTGCTGATGCTGTTGCTGTTTCTCGGGTTGCTGTTGGTGTTGCTGCTGCTGGTGCAATGCGCTAATCTTACTGCCAGCCACAGCTCATCATCGTCAACTTCAGTCAGTTTCAGTTGTGCATTTTTCATAGTCTCTTTCGGTGTTGGTTGTTGCCAGCGGATATGTTGTCTGCTTCCTACTAGATTACTATAATTTAATTTTCTGATTTTTTCGGCCTTATCCAGCTGCTGCAGCTTTCATTGTTCCTTCTTTTTTTTGTGGGGGTTTAGTTCCCTTTTTTTCCTTTTGTGTTGTGTGCCAGGGCTTTCCTTAATACCTACTAAACTTATGAAATTTCCACCGCCTTTCAACGTTCTTCTTTTATATCAATATGGCAAGTATATGTTTTATTGTTTGCAACATTATAATGTCTTCTTTTGTCTTCTTATTTTCTTTACAACCCGAAGAGCGTTTTCCTATTCTTTTTATGAGTCTTTTCCTACAATAAAAGTTCATATATCAACTTCCTTTCCCGTTTTTCGGCTTCATTCATTTGGAGATACTGGGAGATTTTACAAGTTCTTAATTTGCTGTTTATGTTCCTGTTTTGCCTTTTCTCTCTCATTTGTTCGTGGTCTCCGAGATTGTATAGTTGTTCTATTCTGTCGTTGCTACTATTATTATTACTATATATGTTGAGCTATTCAATTAGTTCTCCTAATGCAATCCGTTGCAGTTGTATATGGCAGTGCTTTGTAGCATTTGGTTACTATTGATTTACTTGACTTTTTCTTTATTTGTGTATGCAAAAATGGCGGCTGTAACGAAAAAGATACAAATTTATGTTTAATAATATATACAAGTTAATGTGTATTAAAATATATAAATTGTCTAGATAACATTTTAGTTGCATGCTAAAATAATGCTATGTTTGTCCATTATCTTATTTAGTTGCAATATTAGGCTACTTAATTTTTGATTTGAACATTAATCACTCATTTTATTGCAATACTAATAGAGCTGGTAATCTTAAGTCAATCGACATTTGCCAAGCAATCTCAATCAGCGTTATTGTTCCTTTCTGAGCTGTTTGCATTAGGAATTTACCTTGTGGCGTATGCCATTTCAATTTGTCTATATCAAACTTCTTAGCAAGTGCCCCAGACCCCGACCTCGACCCGTTGACCCATCCAATAACCCCAGGCCATAGCCTTCGAACTTGCTGTTGACCACAAAGGAAACTACAATATGCACAAATTTCGATGGAAAGCGAACAGCTCTCGAGTTTCAATTACTCAAACTAATTAGTTTTGCTAAAACAATAAACCCTAAACATTTTGCATGCTAATCGCTCTAAGGAATTTGTGCAGCTGCCAGCAGTGTCAGGATGTGGCAGAAGATCCTGGTTGGCGAAAGGCCTAATTAATGCCAAGTACGAGTACCAAGTTGCACTGATTTCCAGTCCCGCAGGACTCTTGGAAGGACTCTCACTGGCATTCTTAATAAATAATGCGTATGCAAAACGATAAACACACAAGGGTCCGCATATCCTGGCAAATGGCCGAGCAGGAATTGAAGCAGCCGTAGGATGCAAAATGCAACTGCCACAACGGAAAACCATTTGCAAGGGAACGGGATGGAGAGCCTACCATCCTGACGTTGACGGACATGTGCGGCACGTCCTGTTAAGCAGAGCTCCAGCAGATCAGAGCTGAATTGGCTAGAAACGGACTCTGGAGCTTATGCATATTTATGCCAAAAGTTGTTACATATCGTTCAGCTTACGTCCGAAAGTTTTTGAATAAGAAAAGGACAACCAAATTGGAACCACGCAATTACTTTGGTCAGACCTCAGTCATAAGCCGAGTGGTTGGAACCCGAATGTCAATTGGATATTTTCCTTTCAAAATGCCGAACGTTTATGGCAGCTCTCAAAAAAAAAGTTCCAGGGTGCCGGAGGGGAAAACAATAAATGCATAGAAAAGGAACGTCAACAAACAGTCTCGCCGCCCCCGGCTAGTTTGCTCTTCTGTCAAAGTTCAGTTTTGCAAATGTCACTGGGATTTGAATTGAAAGAAATGGAAATAGTTTTTCGTCTGGTACGAATTGCGGGAGATTTTTCCGCACTGACATGTAATAGGAAATGTTTTTTTTTGCATCTAAAACGCTGTCAACGACACACACATCAAAACACTGTTTCACACTGATTGCCAGCTCAAAATATTTGCATGGAATAGTATCCCATCCGGAAAACTTAGTTAAATTGCAATGCTGAAAAGTCTTTTCAGTTTGACTTTTTATATCTATTGTATTCGTTTGCAAATCAAAACATTCATTTTAAGAAATCCTTATCTAATGGCTGGAAAAAGGCCCTGAGGACATTATTAACAAATGAATTAATTGATTTAATTTTAATTCTGTTAACTTAAACCGATTTGTTTAAAATAATTGTTTCTAAGGACAGGCAAATAAAATGTTTCTAAGTATTAGCTTGTTGGCAAAATGGCTTATAAATATAGCAATTAAAAAAGAGAAAATATAGCATCTGTAAGCATGGCTAACTAAAATTTGGCTCATGCTCCTGGTTAGTTGTAGTTAGGTTTTATTTAATAAAAAAAACCGCACAATAGGCAAGAAATAAAATCGTTTACGGAAAGGAACACTTTCCGGCAGCCGCAAAAATCTTTTTGCCCAAATATCCCGCTGTGAGCACTCAAAACAGCTTTTAAACTGCAATTGAACCTGTCCGGAAGGAAGGCGTCAAAATGGTGTGCATAAAGCGATGACGCGGAGACAGGGGACCGCTGCTTGTGGTGAAGGTGGAGCGGAGTTGCAACAGTTGGCGGCGAGTTGTGGTGCCATTTTATGGGTCACTTGGCTTGGGGCGTCACAACAACGGCGATGCCACTCAAATATTTAGTTGTGCGATCGCAGGTGCAGGGGCTTTTGCTACCACACACAAAAACGGGCAGCACTTTATTTCTTGGCCGTCTGCCCAGTGGCAAATATTGCGCATACGACCCGTGGCCGCTTCACCAAAAAGGTATCGCTTTTATTGCAATCGCTCTGAAATATATTCGAAGAGTTCTGCGGTCGTCTAATCAGCTGAAGTGCCAGACCGCAGGAAATTTTCTGCCATTTTCTCGCATTTGGCCCCACTTCAACCAGCCGGCATTGATGTATGAAATTTTGTGAAATTTATGCGATGGTCGTCGCATAAAATGAACGACCAGCTCAGTCTCGAATCCTGGCCAATGGAGTGGAGTGGCTTGGAACGGGTGTGTGGTGGGGTAAAAATGGCAACTGTTGGCGTCGCATTGCAGATGAAACCATTTTTTCGGACTCCAGAGACTTTTCCGTTTGGCGCGTGAGCAAATTAATTTTCAGCGCGCAGAGAAAAAATGGTTTTTGCATGATGATCAAGGGGCAGGGCCGAAACTCGGCTAGAGATGGAAATGGGCAAACTGCATGGTGTAAATGATAGCCAACGCCTTGGTATGGTCGCCATTCGCCATTCGCCATTCGCCATCCGCCATTCGGCACTCGCCACATTTCCCCCACTCACACAGCTGGCTCAATGAATTATGAATTCGCTGGGCAAAAAGTGGAAATTGTTTTTTTCTGTGCTTTGGCCCGGCCTCACTCTTTTCTCTGGACAGTTTTTATTTTGCGGCTTGGAAAAAGAATTATGTGCTGAATGTTCTTAGCTATGTTGCGACCAGACTTTTCCTTGGCAACTGTTATTCTTGTTGTTTTGGAGTTGCCGAAAACTGGCGACAGTTTCGCAATGCTGGAAAATTAATATTTTTACAAGTGGATTTCCAGTTATATTTGTTCCTTTTTTTTGGGCAAAAGTTGATGACAAACTGAGCGAATTTACGAAGGGATAAGGAGAAATTGTGTTTAAGTTGTTTCTGACTGTGACAAGAATTTAGTGTAAACTTGGCTCTAGGAATTTTTGGAGTGTGCTATTAAATTTGTTCTACAATTTCAAGATTTTAAACCTTTTTGGTTACCTAAAATACATGTTAGGCTGTCTTCTAAAGTAAACCATAATTAAAATAAAAGCAAAATTCAACAGAATTTTAAAAATTCATAATGCAGAAACAATTTAAACACATCCATTGAAAGCCCACACATCGCCGTTAGAGGGCAAGAGTGTGTGTATTTATTATTTATGCCACTGCTACGGATGATTTATGTTCGGTTATATTTGTCGACAGGCGACACATTGAAAGAGACAGAGAGACAACACCACTTTACATGTGTTTGGGTAAAAGTGTTTGCCGTTTTTAATGCAAATATGCAAACAACAATGGCTGCAAAGGCGTGGAGAGGGCCCAAATAGGGTATGATCAGCCGAAGGCAGGACCGAACATGGACAACAAACAAACAAGGACCAGACAAGCAGCACATCGACAACGAGAACCAGAAATATTCACGAGCTTGTCGGGAGATACCTACGGGCATATACATATATACTATATATCTGCATGGCATGCAAAAGAGTTCGAACTGCGAGCGCCACGCCCAGTTTGGTCCTGTCCGCCCAGAATGTAAAATATTTCCCTTGCCTGCCATTCAAAAAATAATTTATCTGCACTTACACAGCAAGGAGAAGATGCTGGCCATGCCATCATCATCATTATCATCACTAACATCATCATAGTAGCAACAACATTGTCATTGACCGAAGTCAGAGTTCAATAGACTTGAGACTAGAATTGAACTATAAGCACAAGCTGCCAATGAGGCTGGGAATGCAATTCATCACTCTAAGTTTTCCTGCTTTGAAAGGAAATTGAATTGGAATGGTAAACTTGAACGGGTTGAAAAGGGGGCCAAGATGAAAAATCTCTAGGAAAAGGCTGAGCGAAAATAAATAGGACCAGAGATGGGAAACCAAAGATGAGAGTCAAATATGTTATTCCTAAGCTTAAAGAAAAATTCCATCTTAGTTTTCCCAGCTTTGTTCAACTATTTGCAACCCAAAGAGTAGACTGAATGAAAGCCCATTCTCGAAACCGTATGCTTCCAACTCATTGGGCAAAAGTTTTCGAACAAAACCGAGAGCTGGCATAAACTATGTGATTTGAGCGTCTGCTTATGACCAAAAAATATGGTCAATTTAATGGGCCAGACCGTATGACAACGCACCCCTTTTCTCTGACACATTACCGCTGGGATGAGATAACTTGGCGTTTCCAAACCCTTTCAACGCACTAACGAATCTCAGGCGAAACTAAAAATCATAAAAAACAAACTTTGCTGACCAACACAATCCGACGCACAAACAAGGGAAACACATGAAAAGGCGAACAAAATATCATAAAGCAAGCGATTTTTTAACAATAAAATAAAAGAAAAGCATAACAAAAGGTGCGGGCCTGCCTGTCTAACTCCCAGTTTTCTACCCCCAGCCTTGGGAAACTGCGTTAACAACAGCACAGCTTGGCATTTAACATGGCCCATAAGACCATATATAGAATGTCCAGGACCAAAAATAAATTACATGTCCATTATGGCCAAGAATCCGATTTTTGTAGATACACACTGAGTTCACGGACGTACACACACTGCCAAACAAACCGAATGGGAAGTGGACTTTTTCCACCCCTTTCCACTGTTTCGAAAGGCCACCCCTTGGCCAGAACGTGATTTACCAAATTAGTGTTGCTGCAGGTCCAAATGGCGTTGGCCCTAACCAAAATCACATAAAATATGGCTAATACAAGCCTTAATAGTCCATTCGATAGCACAAATACAACAACAAAAGGGTTTCCCAATTGTTCCCTCCTTTCAAACACCTTTTGATTCT